TTGGCTATTTCATTTATAAAATGCTTTTCAGGGGGTGAGGGTTCGAATATCAATTTTCTTTTTTCAATCTTTATTTGAAAGGATGTTTCAAATTTACCTTTCCTGTTGTTTACTCTAATAATAGCAACCTTGTAATTAAACTCTTTTTCAATCTGATTAATAAGATCCATTAGTATGGGTATAATAATCTCTGCAGATTTATCTTTTGTGAATCTAAGCTAAGTTCCTCTTATTACATTATCAATAACTGTAATAAAGTATCTATTTCTATTTTCAGAAGGTTCTTGAATTCCTGATAGATCTATATGCAAGTGTTATAGTTTTGTAGGTATATGGATAGCTATATGTTTGTTGAAATGCTTATTTATTCTCTTTGTAAGGCAAGGCTTGTAAGCTTTTCAATCAGTACTTTTCTTTCTTTTAGTGTAGTATAACCCATTTGAAGCTTTCTTTAGCTTATCCATCTGGTTGTAGTTGAGATGACCTAAGTGTCAATATATAATCTCAGCTTTGTTGTTATTCATATCAATCTCTTCTGTTTCTAAGTCTATATCCGCTATATATACTTATTGAATAAATGGTTGTTGAATGATATAACTGCTATTGATGCGTTTTGTAGCTATCTCTAGCTGACCATTTTTCCAGTATGACGCTGAATCCCCTTCGAAGATGACTTTTCGATCTGTTTCGGCAAGTATTCCAATTAAAATGAGTTGATTATTCCGAAAGTCCTTGATATACCAAACATCTCTCAGTGTAAAGTTTCCAATAGTAGCTATTCCATATACAGTGCTTATAGAATATACATTATTCACAGTTTTGACTCTTCGTAGAATACCCCATTGTACAACATTAAAGAGATTTTCAATAGAACCAGTGAAGTGATAAAAGGCTCCCGAATCAAGAATCCATATATCATTTTGGACTTTAGCATACATTGCAGTATTAGGATATAGGGAACCAGTATATTCGTCTGCTATAGCTATTTGCACAAAACCATCATTCTCAGTATTTTTATTTGAATACCAGGCTTCTCTGACTTTATTGTATTCCCAATAAGCATTTTGCCAGTGTCCTTTCTTTTTACAGAATTTGTAAGTGTAAGATCCAGCCTTGGTAGCTTTGTCAGAACTTGGTGAAGTATTGTTGCCTTTCTCAAGTGTATATTTTCTTCCATTTCTATAATATTCTCTACATCCTTTTCCACCCCTTCCTCGAGCTCTCTTATTACCTCTTCCTCTTATATTTCCTTGTACAGTATTAGCTATTACTGAATGATTTGTTATACCTTAAGGAATTCTCTTAGCTTGTTATAGAGCATATAGTGTATCTCGTGTATTCATATTTAATGATGTGATAAAGTTTTGCTATATCTACCAGACTTTTATATCTAGTAATACATTCAAAAGATAAGAATAAACCTTTATTTCAAATAGAGATTATATTGTTACAGATAATTTATATTGATAATCAAGGAATCGATCAAAAAAGAATTGAATTATCTTTATTTTAGAATCGAATTGCTTGCGGATGAACTATTACCAGAGATTCTGAGTATATTGAAGATTCGTATTATTATTGAATATTAAGAGTTTCGTTCAGATTCCTGTAATATCTTTTGTATCGATTATATATATAAGTTGAGAGCGGTATATAGGAATAATACAGAAATTGATAATAAAGAATACAATTCCTACTTTTCTATTCCATTCAGCAATATCGGCTTGATTATTCGCTAATCTTACACTTCTCCCCGTACATAGGGACAGTATAGATGCTGTTATTATAGTAGTTCGAATAGCTTTATAGAAGTCTATCTAGTTATAACCATTAAAAGTAACTAGTATTCCCTATTTTGTTTGGACTATATCGACAGTGGTCTTGCTTGCTATAATATCAAAAGTGGGGGTAGCTGTAGGGGAATGAGAACTCGAGATTCAGGGGATACAAAGGTATAAAATGAAGCTTATAATGACGCGGCGCTCATAACCTATCAGAAATAGACAGTAAGTTACGCATAAGGAGTGATATATTGAAAAATGTATATCAGATCTATATATCCGGGAAGTCCGAAGAAGGAGTTTTATAGTGGTGTGCACGTGCCACACACGTGCTACACATGTGATTTCCAACAAAAATATATGCGAAATCATAATTAATAGTTTAGGCATATCAAGATACAGGCAAAACTACTATTTTGATATAATCACTAATTATTCAATATATTAGCCAGTATATTATACTTGTACTTACTGTTATTTTGTAAGTGTTAAACAAGTATATTCAGGTCTATTTACGGGATATCATATAGGTATACATTCAATCAACCACAACTTTGAACAGATCTATTTATATGGAAACATCAGAAGAGATTGGACTTGATTTCGGATATGTGCTATATGTCATAAAGTCCTTGTATGGTGTACTAGAAGCAGGAAATCACTAATTTGGAATCTACTACAATCACCATAGGGATAGGCTAAATATAACGCAATCTATATATAATCCCTGTTTACTTTATTCCAATAACAACATCAGCATCGTAGGATTACAAACCGATAATATTCTTATAGTTGCAGACAAAAGATTTGTATAATTAGAACAAGAGTAGTTGGAGAAAGCTGGATTTATGGCTAAAAATAGAGAGCAATTCACTGAAGATTATTTATTTAAGTTTAATGGTAGTTTAATCACTTTTAAGGGTAATAGAATCTATCTGAATCAGAAAAAACAGTGTGATAATCTCCGAATGGTTATGCTAGGGAGTGTTGATATACGGGGAATGAGGGGAAAAATTCAAAAGAATATCACTTCGAAGAACCAATATGTTGCTCAACGTGCAAGAGGTGCGTATATCGCAACAGTATGTCAACCAGAGGCATTATACCATCTTTCAGTTGCTGCTCAGGTAGTAAATCCGAAGGAAGAAGATGCTATTAAGCTCAATAAGGTTATCAAATGGCAGATGGATAATCCAAAAAGAGGATTAACCTTTATACCTCTCGACATGGATTCTATCGATTTAGTCATCTTTACCGATGTATTCTTTGCTAACAATACTGATCTATTATCGCAAATCGGCTATATTATATGCCTTGTAGACAAGCACAGCAATACTAATATCATTTATTGGACATCGATCAAATGCAAGAGAATCACTAGGAGTGTACTAGCTTCTGAGCTATATACATTAATTCTAGGTTTTGATATCGGAGCTGCTATTAAGGGTACTATCAATACTATTCTCAAACCTAAAAAGCGAATACCACTCATGCTTTGTACGGATTCTAAATCACTATATGACCTATTAACTAAGCTCGGTACAAGCACGGAAAAACAACTCCTGATCGACATTATGGCTCTACGACAATGCTACGAAAATAGGGAGATCACAAAGATTAAATAGATTGACAGGAAGTCGAATCCTGCGGACGCCATAACTAAAAACGGTGTATGTCAAGCTTTAAAAGACTTGATTGATACTAATAAAATAGTCATTAAAGTAATGTATTAGGTGGAAAGAGAATAGTGAAAGGGGAGCTAAGGGAGTAGGAGTAGAACACTGTGCTTAAGATTGAATAATAGACTTAGGCTTAAAGCACATAATCCATTCAACTTAAGAGTTGCCAGTGTCAAGATATCGATCATGTGATCTAAAAGGGCACTATATTGCACTAACGTATGTACTAACGTATGCACTAACACTAGCACTTCTACTATATTAAATACTAGCTTCCCATAGTTAATAATGATCAAGACAAATAATACAATCAATCATATTGATAAGACTGAAGTACTTTACACTTTAATCAACACCAAGTTGATACCAATACAATAACATCATACCTCGTACAAGCACCCACCCAGATCATTGCAGCTATAGGCACGGCTTATCGCACACTTTTAAGCTTTCGAAATGGCCGACATTACGGCATTGAAAACATATTACGCAACCACCAATTATGAATCTCGACCTCTCTTTCCTCATTTCATTGGGTCGAGACCAGAGCAAAACTTCACATGATACATGTTGATCAAAAAAGTTTCGCGTGCACGCTTCAGCAATCTCGCTCGCTTAACCACATCCAACTCGCGTAAATTACCCCAAAAAAGGCCATGGTGTCGGAGATGTATTGAGTCTGTAACTTCGGCGTCTATCATGTAAGGAATCAAATCTGCACAAACAATACATGTATATCGAGGTTATTGATTCATAATTTGAATCCCATGTACATATTTTAGCTTGCAATACAAAAACTTCGAGGAATTACATAAGATTTTCATTGGCTACATCAAAGTTTGGTGGGGTAGCTAAGCAATCGCGGGGTTGATACCATGAAACTGAATGCCCTGAAAATAAGATCTTACAATTATAAATGAATTTATGGGTTTCGAAAGTACTGTAGGAATTTTGATATGATAATGTGCGTGAGATTCGTGCAATAAACAAGCACGATGATTTCAATACTTCAATGATTGCAAGAAAACATTTGTGGATGGATCGAGGTACTTGTGAAATGACGTGAAAAATGATCTTCTACTGTGACTAGTGCTTAAAATCAGAAGTAGTAGACAGACCAAGAAGTTCCAAGCTGTCTAGTGAAATTTCTTAGCACAATAGGAAGTCCAAATAGAAATCTCAAGCTATATATATGAGAGATTTTAACCTTAACCCTTTTTCTTTCTTAATCCGCAATACCACCGCATACCCACTCGACTTTAGATATCAGTATCATAACTATTTATCTTCACTTGAAATAAACAGATTATACTATCAATTTAACCACCATCACGACAAGAATACGGACAACAATGACAACTCCAAGTCCAACAGTAGAAGCAAAGGCTAAAGTTCCAGCCACACTCTCTTCTTTAATCGAAACAGGAGCAATGTTTCCAATCCAAAAATCAACAAAAATAAAGCTCCAGTTTAAAAACAAGAAGCCTGCCTTGCCTAACCTTCTGAAGATCCACCAATTAGCGCTATTTCTTCAGGAACAATGTCATCGACCGAGAGATCGACGGAGGTAGAGAATCTGCTCAAGAAAACTGCCTCTACCCGCCCTTTTACATCGCCACCAGAAAGTCAGCGTGTGCATGATCAGCCTTCTTTGAAGTCTTCTTCGAAGCCTACCTCTTCTTCCTCGGACCTTGCCTCCTCTACAATCAATGCCCCTCTCTACCCATCGCCGTCGACCCAGAACCTATTCGTTCAAGGTGGGGACGAGAGTTACGCCAGACGGAGAAGGCAAAACAGGGGAATCCCGGAAACAATGCAGTAGCACAGAATGCAGTTGCAAACATTGCAGGCCAAAAGAGAAAGGCTACTAAAGCTGCTACCTCCCGAAGAAGCGAGTTAAGTTTGCGGATACCGACAATCACGAGTCCGCAGAGACCACTAGGCCACACAGCGCTACAGTGGCTCAACGAACACGCATCAGAATTGGAACGCGCTTCCCACCCCTACGACGCAGGGCTCGAGTGCAAGCAGTACTTGAAGCATCGAGAGAAGCTCAACACAGGGCCCAGATGTTAGTATGGCAAGAAGAGCAAGAAGCAGAGAACCGTAAATTAAGAACTAAGATGGGGAATGCTCTCCGGGCCTGGGAAGCTCTCGAGAGACAGAGAGAACTTGAAGCCCAACAAGCAAACATAGGAGCTTTCTAGACACTGAATACGACGAACGCCAAAGGTACTGCCTCCAAAATGACGTACAACAAAACTGCTCTTTCTCAATTGGCCATCGGTTTCATGCACCTAGTATGACCGGCAGGTATGATTCATAGCCACAGAAAAGGAAAGCGCTAGCTGGTTTAGCATGTACGACTGCAATTTGTCATTGAGGTGGCCTACAAATACTCGAAATTGTTGGGGAAATAGTAACGTGTTTTCGTTGCCCCCGAAAAATTTGTTTTCATGATTTATTGCGTTGATTATTTTTGAATTTTTATGGAGGTTTTGGTAAGGGCATACCTTCCTGATTAATTTGGATCTGGAACATGTGGACCCCATGTTACCTGACCTTCACAGCGCCCAAGTTGGGAATGGTTTTGTTTGATATTTTCGGCCGTATCTATGAATACTCGGTTCTCAATGGGTTTTCTGGTACATATATTGTAATTTGTCGAATCATATCAGCGAAGGACTCTTTTTAGCGGAATTGTCTACAAAGCGGGAGTGTATAAATGGAAGGATGAGCGTACAAATGTAGTTTTGCATGTTATATAAAATGGGACAATTGGAATGAGCGTACACATGTAGTTATGCATGTTATATAGAATGGAAAAATTGGAATTATACAAATGAATCCCGTGAAGTTAACCCAAATATAAGTGACTGGTGAGTTCCAATCATAGCCCATATTGATATCAGAGCACCTGTGAAAGAAGTGGAATCTTATGCGTCTGAAGATGGAAGGCACAACTTGAATCGTATGAATAGTTGTATTTACATCAGAGGATTGAAAATAAAAATCTGGCAAATTCGCATAGTGCGTTTTGGCATATGTGCTTTACCGAAATTGAGTGCAGAGCTTCAGCAATTATCTCTATCTAGTGGGCAAAAATGCAATGAAATATAGGAAATTTGTATGAAATTTTACGATTGAACTTGCGACTCCAATATCACCATTTCATACATCATATCTCTCATTTTCGTTCCCATTGTTGTATTCACAGTCATCTGAGCTCAAATAGGCCTTAGTTCGAGACGACGTCAAAGAACTCTTAAATATTACATAAGCAGATAAGATAAGCAAGCGAGGCTGAGGAACCTCATGGAAAGGACAGCTTTTGGACTTGGGTAATTATTTTAAGGACACACATACAACCCATCATAATTGCGACCAGCAAAGTCCTGTCGACAACTTCTCAACTCAAGAATCTTGACTATCAATCAGACCATCGCAATCGACAACATGGAGGAAACTGAGACTTTTACCCTTTTACCATTACATATCGATTATCAATCGAAAGCCCTGTCCACCTCCTCCAATTCCAAAGCCCTCAATGAAGAGTTAGAAGAAATCAATACACTCTGTCGCACTCTCCTTGCGATAGAATCACCAATCCCTCCTCCACCTGTTCCCGTAAACCCAAAACGTTCCGCCGGAATCACCAAATTGCGAGAAGCAGGCAATGGCGAGTTTCGAAAGGGTAGACATGGAGAAGCTATAAAAATGTATACTCTAGGCTTGGAAATGGCATTAAAAAGACCACTTTGGGAACCATGTGGCTTGGTTAGAGATGAGGTGTCAGGATTGTATGCGAATAGAGCGCAGGCGCATATGGCGTTGCAAAATTGGGTTGAGGGGGCTTTGGATGCGGAGAGCAGTGTGGAGGCTAAGAGGGGTGGAAATGCGAAAGCCTGGTGGAGGAGAGGAAAGTGTTTGATGGAGATGGGTAGGTTAGATGAGGCGAAGGAGTGGCTTGGACGGGGATTGGAAATGGAGAATAATGAAGGCGATCTGGTGGCTTTGTTGAGGGAGATTGAGGCGAGGGAAAAGAAGACGTTACATGTTTAATTTGAATGGTATGTGGATGGAAATGGTATGGGGATATCTATGGCATAGAGATATGGAGTCGAGGCGTTCTTTTGCTGGGTTCAGGGACTCATTTACTTCTAGCATGTATATGAATTAAAGATCGGGTTGACTTGGCTGGGAGTCCAGTATGCAATACTCGCAGAGATTTATGCTATATGCTTCCGAAAGTTTGAGAGTGAAGAACGGCATTGAAATATCACTCTGTCTGGCCATTGATTACTTGAGCAAATTTAGTTTTGAATCTTTACACTTACACACAAAGAAGTCATTCTTGCTTCATATCTAGGAGATGAGCCTGAGCGAGTCGGGGTTGTATCAAAATTGTAGTGACATTCTATATCCTATTAATTTATATGTACTTCCGATTCAACAAATCCCAATAATCATTATTATTTCAAGTCGCCACTCAAATTTGCCAAATATCAAGCATCTCCAGACTCCCGTAAACACATTCTACACTGCCTCTGAGATTCATATTTCAGCCTACACCCCCAAAAGCACGAGTAACCTCTCAATGCCCAGCCCCATTTCCGTCCCTACCTCTGTCTTGATCTCGTAAGACTCTCCACCGAAGCCCCTCCATCGAACGCTTGAAACATCTGTTCTCGTTCCTCGGGCACCAAATCCCATTTCAACATATATTCCACCAACACACGTTCAACACTCGATCCATCCGTTGAGAGTGCTTGGTGCTCCCGTGCACTCAGTAACCCATGTTGGTCCGCAAGTGCTATTTCTTCCAACTTCAGTCTATGGAATATATCCTTGCGTTGGGCATTATTCGATTCGTCATATGGTGGCTTGAGATCGATAGTATCCAGCTTGGCGATTCCTCTCGCAATATTCTTAGCTAGGTGAAGAATCCGTGCTGTAGAATATCGGTTGTCTTTCAACGCAGCAAGCATATCCCATTTTTCATCGAGAAAACTGATCTCCGAACCGAAATATTCTCGAAGAGTCTGTGATGTGACATCTCCAAAAGTGGATGCCGCATCGATCGTTTCCGCAGACGGAAATGGATAATAACTCGTTCTCGTAACAAGATACTTGACACACTCTACATCACACCTCACACTCATTTTCCAGTCTCCAAACCCCCGACTCAATCCCTGGATGATCACATGCATGAAAATATCCATCGGACACAATCCTAACGCTTCGTGATACTCATCAATCGGCGACTCCGACAAGTAATCTTTCCACAGCAACACGTAATGCCACGCCTCTCTCGCATCCAACCCATCTTCTCTCATCAGTCTCAAAATCTCCCGGAATCCATACGATGTATTCGCAGAATAAGCAGCCAGGATCTCCTCGTCGGATCGGGGACTTCCACTTACATCTCCAATGGAACGCGCGCTGGTAGATGCGGGGATTAATGTGTAGTTTCCCAGGCGAGAACTCCATTCTTCTGGAATCCGGGAATCGATTCTCGTAGCTGAATTTTCGAGGTATAGCTGCCATTTGCCTAGATGATCGAAAACCGAAATGGCAGGCTTCTGGGGCATCTCTATTCTATTGGCATTCGCAGCATCTAATTCTCGCTGCGCCCGCGGCAAGAGATTGCTTCGATGGGCGGGAATCGTATCTCGCGCAGCCCCAGTAGATAGCGCAGCGAGTTGTCGCTCCAAACGCAGATTCTCATAACTGGTACTTGGTCGTAAGCGCGGTGCACGCGAGAGAGTATTCGCGTTCTCTAGAATGTAGGGCGATATATCTCTGCTTTCTATCGGGAGCCCAGCGCGGATTCTCGTTTCAATTAGTCGTAGCTCGGCTCTGCGTCTGGCGAGTTGGGTTCGCGTAGTGATGTTTGACATGTCGTCTTGATATCCGGCTAGGATTTGAGAAAGATCTGGGAGTTCACTATTGTCGTGCGGCGAGATGTCTCGTGGGATGTCACGATTTACGATGGTCGACTCGGGATTCGGATGATTCCTTGATATTTGATAGGCGGCGAGTTGTTCTGCCATTGATGGTTCGGCATCTCCATAGTTTTCAATACTGCTCTGTCGTGATAGTGGTCTTGTTAAATCCAGGTCAAGATCGATATCTACGTCCTCCACTTCGGCATTGACTCCACCATTCGATGGAATCTCAGGTCTCGTCAAATCAGTACCCATAATTTGATCTCGCACCCTACCGACTTGTGACTCTAAGTCAATGAGTAGATCCTGTACAGAAGGACGAACATTCTGTGCTTCAATTACAGATGGTACTTCTGGAGATAAAGAAGCCAATTCTCTTCGTTCTTGAAGCTCAAAAAGATATCTTTGACGGACATTTCGCACCGACATCTCCATCCGAAATAAGCTACGATTAATTTCCGATCGATTGGGTGCTGGTGAATCGGCCGTGTAATATGCATTGGCCGGCTCAAGACTGGGTAAAGCTGGGAGTCCGCTTCGAGCTCTCCTAGCTGCAGCTTCTGCATTGATATCCTCCTGAACTGATGAATCTGAGTTGTTCACAGGATTGAGAAGTGCCCGGCGTTGAGGAAACGAAATAGTGCCGTCTTGATTAAAGGCAACAACTGGTGGTCTTGAAGTGGCATTCCCAGAACTTAGATCTCTGGCTTCAGAATTAGCGGCCTGAGATATCGATGAATTGGCAGCTTCGACTCTATCATCTGTGATGACACCTCTCACCGGCTCCCGCACTTGATTCTCCCAGGTTTGAGTCACCAAAATTGTCAAAATATCACGTATTCCTGCACGCGAGTCGGGACTGGCTTCACGAAGTCGCTGGCTTTGAAATCGAATCTGAGCCTGGAGATCGCTGTCCGAATCTATACCTGTCGAGCCTCTATTCTCAGGCTCGACTACAGATGATGGGGCATTCCTGAGCGATCGAAGCGAGGTTTCCTGTTCTACTCTTTCTCTAGCCATATTATCCTGGCCTCCCGTCAGAGTAATAAGCCGATCATCGCCGCTTACCCGATTTCCGTATGGTGATGGTGAAGGCAATCCTGGACCTGGTCGCCCTGTTGTTGGGCTTGGGCTCAGAGGTGCTAGTATCGGGTGTCGCCAATGGGGACTGGTGAATTGTCCTACAGAGTCTTGATAGCGATAATGTCTTCGTTCAGGACCTGGTGCTGGTGCTGGCATCGACCGCGTTGTGGACGTGGATGAAGAACTGAAATCGGAGTCTTCGTCTGCGTTATTTAAAGTATGCCTCTGAGATTCTGGCGCAACCGTCTGGGATTGAGCATGTAATGGGTGAACGTGCTCTTCAAATGAGCGTTGACGCGCAAGACGGTATGCAGATATATAGTTGAGGATCGTACTTTGAGGAAGAGATGTGATGTGAGCTAGAGTTAGATTAGGCTCTAGGTTAGGATTGAGATGGAGGGGTTCGAGAGATTGCGTGGATGCTGATGTTGAATCTGGTGTGTATGATCTCGTGTGTGGAATGTTCGTGACAGTTGAAGCGGATGATGAAGCTACAGTTCTTGGTGTTCGTGTGCGTCCCCTTTGCTTATCCTCGCTCTCGTCATCTGCATTTTCATCAACTGGATTTCTATCCATCGTCGCATCCATACTAGCCAGGCCCGCAGATTCTGAAACTGTGTGTTGTTCTTCCTCGTCGAAGGAGGTAGAAGGATGGAGTATTGGTGTAGATGGGAGATCAAGAAGATCCTGAGAGTCGAGACCTTCTGGGTGGAGACTTAGTGATGACATTCTAAGTTACGAATAAGTTGTATATTGATTCTGCTAGAAAATGGTAAATATTGAGACTTTGTAATAACTTGATAGTTGATACTTTTCGTGTAAGCTACAATGTCAAAGTATTGATTGATGTTTTTAATGAAGAAGAAGAGCAGACCCAAGAGATGCTTTTAAGCAAAGAGATATTGTATCTGGTAAGATCTGGATACGGTGATTAACACTAGTGTTATTCGAAATTGATATTCACTCTGAGGTTCGGGCACGAGAGTGAATTGGCTGTGTATTTCGAAGGCCGTATTTGTTAGGCGGCAGTATTCACATCTTAGTATTCGGTTGGATTGGATGACTGATCCACTGTATATATATATTCTTTTCAGATGCTACAATGGCTCGTTATCCCACGGTCAAGCTCCGTCATATGACAATAGCATAAATATAGAAATTACTTTCATTCCAGGAAATCTAGCTACAAGTTTTTTCTTTTCGGAGATAGATACAGACATACATGCAAATATCCAATAAAGTTGATTTCCGGCACAGCGCATCTCCAAAACTCCCAGGATTAAAAGCGCTGCAATTTTATTGCTAGACGATTAAATGCAATGAAATACAACGCAACAAAACACAGTAGGTATAAAATACATACATCTCAAATGCTTGGTATATGGAGTACACAAAAAAGAACAACCACATTCATCGTTTTCATTTTAATCGTTTCCATTTCATAGCATGGCTTTAAATACCAAACGTTTCGTCCCCCAAATCCGTATCATTTCTAACCAGTAGAACATTTCGACTCCTAGAACCCGCTAGTAAGCCACTTGCTTAATCTGACACACAAAATCTCTCTCGCACCCACTCCAAAATTTCTCATTATCTGTTTATCCACTACCCAAGATCAGCGGAGTCTCCGTACTTCTCCTACTAATTCTTGTTCTACTACTTTCTCCTCTTTCCCTATTCCTATTGTCGTCCCCGGGAACTTCAATCTCATCTTTGATCCTACTAGTAAGATATGCAGCGAATAAAGTACTGATACCACCCGCAGCCATAACAACCGCAAAACTTCTGTCTCCTGGGGTCCCACGTGGCTTTTGCATGAATTTGAAAATGATACTGCTGCCCAGTGTAGCGAGAATTTGAGGGGCTGCAACGGACATGTTGTGAATACCGAGGATGATGCCTGAGAACATTGTTAGCAATTGACAACAAAGAAGAAACATGCACGGAATGACAATGTAAGAGCAACTTACCAGCTTGATCTTCATCCAAATCATCCTCGCCAACTATCGATTGCTGGCGTGCTCTACGTACAGCATCACGTTTACTAACTTCAGCGCTGATGATAGCAAATGGTGCCCATAACGTCATAGCCCATGATACACCAACTAATGCTATTAAAATAGTGGCTGCTGTAATAGATCGTACAATGAGAGTTGAAAACATGCATGCTGCAAAAAGAAGATGGCTTATGAGCCATGCACGACGAAGGGTCAGGCCAGGGATGGCGAGATTATCCATAAATCGTGAGAAACGTGTTGTGTAACTTTTATGAGAGTATGTTGATGCGGCTGATGAGTGTGCATCGTAGGACGGAGTAATGAAGAATGGTAAGACGACATTGACAGTCAACGATGTAATAGCGTACATCAAAAGAGCGAAAGTTCCAACACGAGTAGCTTGCTCGTAGAGCTTATCGATTTCTGCTGGAGTCATGTCGGGATTTTCTCTTAGATATGGCTGAACATAAATATCACCGACATAGGAGCTCGAATAAAAAAGTTGAGGGAAAAAGCCAATCCAAGCGAAGAACTCCACTTCACAGACTTGACGAGTCAAAGGAGGTAAACGCCTGATGGAGGTAAAAACTTGTTTGAAGAACGGGATAAGTCCTGATTTTGCTTCAGGTGGAATTGGCTCGTTACTTGGATCACGTTCTTTGATGGTAACACTGCTTATGGTGACAGTGGTAGAAAGAGCCACGCAAGCCATTAGAGAAAGTATCTTGAATTGGGTATTTCCGAAAAACCATAGATACTTTGGTAGATCAATATAACCAGCGAGGTAAGCAACAATGTTACCAATACCTATGACACGGCTAGCGAATGAGTTCGCAGTTTCTAAAGATAGGAGTTAGCTCTTTTCAGGAAACATTACACGAGTGTTTCTAGTAACAAATACCTTGTTGGTGACTAGGGGCGCAATCAAGAATATAAGCTCTGATAGCAGCTTGTACTAAGAGATGTCAGTGAGTTCTCTACTATTAGTATATTGGCACAAACCTGTAGCTATAGCAAAATCTAAAATATAAACTAAGAGAACAGCGACAACGATGATTGAAACTTTGACGCCTTGAGATTCTTTGTCCGCACCGAATAACCCTAGAAATCCACCAACTATTTCTCTTACCCAAGCTAAGAAAACTAAAGACAGGACTGTAGCGACAGTACCTATGGCCATAAAGGGTCGTCTTTTACCCCATGGTGATCGACATCTATCACTTAGTATACCAATATATGGCTGGACTAAAGCTCCTGACATTGGTCCTGCGATCCATACTAAAGCCATTAATGACTTGCTCAGACCGAGTGATAGAAGATATGGTGTTCCATTGGACAACTCCACTCCCCAAGCCACTTGTAAACCGCCTATGCTGAGGGTCAAAAGTATCATGTACCATATCCCCTTTGTTTCTGAGAAAGTATCATTGTCATGATTTAATATGTTGCTGCCGTTAATGAGACCTTCTTCCTCTTCTTCCGATTCAGATGCAGACAAAAGCGGTGACTGTTCGTTTGCAGGTTTGTGGTCCTCCATTCGAGTATCTTGATCCTTCTTCGAGTCGGCACTCTGCATTTCATCATTCTCCTCCCCTCGAACATTACGTGTGTCACCTTCTGCCATATTCTTCGTTGTAAGAAAAGAGTACGAGACCCAAGTCGAGGATTCTGTTCAACAACTCTCAAATCCACTTTCGAGTTGACCGCAAGTCCGTGGAATCACTGCAGTTGTCGTTTGCTTTTGGAATTTGTTTGGAGTTTGCGGTCTGTTATAGTATGAATCAACAAAGTTGTCAATGGAGACGCAAGGCGCAATGACAACAAGGGGTCTCAGACATGAGTTGGTTCCTATGGGTTCTGGGCATCACGAGGCTGGAGTGGGCTGCTGTGCACGCGGATCAGCTTCGTCTGCTGGGATGGTCTGGTGGATCAGTGCGCAAAATCAAATAGGTATGAGGTGCATCGGAAAATTCGAGATCTGTACATGTGCGTGGTCAATACGATGTAACACAGCTTGACATGTTAGGATGATTGGAGATTGCGGAGATGAGTTGAACGAATTGTATTTTCTAGAACGAGGCTGCGAAATTCAAATATGAACAGTATGTAATGATTCAAGGTCCCTTGTCAACTGATGTGATGTGATGTGACGTGAAGGTTGATGACTAGGTGAGATGCTGTACCACTGCAAGTGACATAATTATGTAATCAGATCAGATATCTCAGCCTCACCAATCAAAGTAAGGCTGTGATGTACGTAACCAACCAATCAAAAGAAGAGACAGGAAACCTTCATAAGATCCGGAGCCTCTCAGACGTTATATGTACGATGTACATGTACAGAGGAAATGGCTGTGGATTCGTGGAGATGGACAAATCATACGAAGTATCAGGGAGACAGACGATGGGCCATAGCTCATGGTATACGCAATGAGAAACAAACGCGACATGACAATTTTATATCAATTTCATATGTAACCGCCCCCACTATCCATGAGTGTGAGTGCGAGTGAGAAGAACATCTCTACAAAGTATAACTGCCCGGTATGAGGGAATCCGGAGTTGAAGACGGTACAATGTGAACAATTGAACAGGAGCAAACATCAGACTCCTGGTATTTCAGTATAGAAGGAATTCGAATACAATGAATTATGTCTTCCTTTGTGAATGATACATTTTTTAAACAAACAATACGATATTTTATTCTGCACCATTCGCAAATTTGGATGCTTTGTCGTAATTGTAATATGATAATAAAAATGACAACCTGGCCAGAGAGATACTGCGTGCTAATCATAATAATATCATGTGCCTAGTAGGAAGTAGCTTCATCCAAGTAACACGGAACCGAATGTTTGACAATCTACCTACCTACTTCGTACTACCCAGTATCCATCTGCCTTTCCCTACCTACTCCACCAACTATCACCACCACGAAACCCACATACTTCAGAATTACTTCGTACATCCAGAACACCCCTCTTCACTCTCAAACTAATAGATATACATGCGTCGTTCTCTCGCTATTCGCTGCTCGTCTCTGAGCGACTGTACAGTCTTTCGCAATTCTTCCACATAACTTCGATAAAGTTCGCGATATCGCAATAGCTATCTAGATACCACTCCATCATGTCTGCGGCGATCGCCGGCTCCGTCTTTGAGCTTCTGAGTAAGTTTGCGATTCTGTCCATCAGGTTCGTTTGTGCGTCAGCTAATGAGTGTGGTTTAATAGAAAGACAATCCGAGGAAGAAGATCCCGACGGTATGCTATAGTGTTTCCAACATCAGAAGACAATCCCCAAATGACAACTGATCCCATTTCCATAGCACCCGATTCATCACAGAAGGAAATATTCTCATCATGGGCTCTCTTCATCTTGATTATGCTACTCATTGTAGCCCTCTTCACAAGTTACTTGCTTCAAATCAAGAAAGTTGAAGCTGTTCATGAAACTTCCATTTCGATCTTTGCTGGTAAGTTATGTTGATCGGGCGGTTCATAAGGTATATATTAACCAATTAGGTATGACCATTGGCTTAATACTTCGAGTCAGCGCTGGAAATTCTATACAAAGTCTTGTGAGCTTCGATGAACAGATATTCTTCAATCTTCTCCTGCCACCGATTATCCTGGCTTCCGGATACGAATTACACCAAGCGAATTTCTTTCGCAACATTGGTACTATTCTTACATTTGCGTTCGCCGGGACTTTTATATCGGCAATTGTGCTAGGATTGGTATTATGGTTGTACACGAGAATTCCCCTCGATGGGGTCAGTATGACATTCGTTGATGCTATATCTGTTGGAGCAACACTTTCTGCCACCGATCCTGTTACGATTCTAGCGATTTTCAACACCTATAAAGTCGACCCGAAACTTTATACAGTAATTTTCGGAGAATCGATCTTGAACGATGCTATCGCAATTGTCTTGTTTGAGACAGCGCAAAGATACAAAGAAGGTGGTAACGCAGGAACTTTGGGTCTCCTCAGTTTATTCGAAGGTATCGGCATTTTCTTGGCAGTGTTCTTCGGAAGCTTGATTATTGGAATCATCATAGGAATTGCTACAGCCTTGGGATTGAAGTACACATACGTCAGGAGATTTCCAAAGATTGAAAGCTGTCTGATTGTGTTGATTGCCTATGCCAGCTACTTCTTCTCTAATGGTCTTCATATGTCTGGTTTGTATTCCAGCAAATCCCTCATCCAAAGATCAACACTAATATGAAGTAGGAATCGTCACACTTTTATTTTGTGGAATCACCCTAAAGCATTATGCATATTATAACATGTCTCGCCGCACGCAACTTACTACTAAATACTTGTTTCAAGTACTTGCGCAATTATCGGAGAATTTTATCTTCATCTACCTCGGATTATCTTTGTTCACTGAGAAGGACTTACAATTTAAGCCGCTCTTCATTATAGTTACCGTCATTGGCATTTGCGTAGCCCGATATGCCGCCGTGTTTCCTCTCTCGAGACTCATCAATTGGTTCCTCAGATACCGTGCAAAGAAAAGAGGGCAGGAAGTCGCAGATGAACTACCCTACAATTATCAAGCAATGCTGTTTTGGGCTGGATTGCGTGGGGCTGTAGGTGTCGCCTTGGCAGCCGGAATGACTGGCGAGAATTCATGGGCATTAAAGGCAACTGTACTTGTGGTTGTAGTGCTTACTGTCATTATTTTCGGTGGTACAACAGCACGCATGTTAGAAATTCTCGGCATTCGTACTGGAGTGATCGAAGAAATCGATAGTGATGACGAATTCGATATTGAAGCTATTTCGGGCGGAAATTATTACAAACATTCCGGATCAGGAATTGGAAACGATCCACGACGAAGCAATGGAGCAATGCAGCTTGATGGTCTTGCTAGGCCAGGACATCGTAGAGAAGCAGAGCGTGGAAGCTATGCAAGCGGCAACGCTAGTCCAAATGTTAGATCAGCAAGTATGAATCGGAAGGGTTCCAATGCAAATGGGAGAAAGGAAAACGAGAGTGAACAGGATCTTCTTGGTAGGACCGGTAGCACAAGCGATGAAGGCTTTGATAGCGATTCATCTGATCTTCCACCACCAGCCAATCGACCACCGAAGAGAAGGCCATCGCCACCTCAGGATAGCGGTGATCTGGGATCACCTTACCCAACTTCAGGCAGTACAAGTCGTCCTGAAGCACCACATATTACTGCATCAGGCGCAATCAGTCAATTGCTGCATGGAACGGCCGAGGATCATGCAGCATGGTTCAAACAGTTGGATGAAGGATTTATCAAACCAAAGTTACTTCTTGATGGTGGTAAAGGTCCTCATGGTGGGCCAAGCGGAAGCTAAGGTCCAGTCTCATTACAGTGAACAACAATTTATTCAAAAGGCAGGATAGGGCAAGAATGGCGTTCTTTGGTGTACAAGAGGAGTTGGAATTTTGGCAGTCAGCGATTGCGTATGCATGTATGAGAATTAGATAGAATTTCCGCCCGATACTTCTTATGATATAATCATCAGGGAAGAAATAGAATAGTATTTGTATCGCAATGAGTTTTTGGTTTGTGTCATTTTTACATGCAAACTTGGAGACCGGGGTTGGATTCTGTTGCCAAGAGTTTGGCTCATCTTGATATACGTATGGATTGTAGTCCAACATCATTGCGTCAAACAACAGGATAAATCTGGTGATATATGCGTCCAGCCGTACCGATATTCAATCAACAGCCAACAATCCCTCAATTACACTTCATGCATGTTACACAATGAGAATGACTGTTGAAAATAGGAGTATGGTGTAGGTGTGGCTTATTTACTTATTCGCCTGGATAAATACACTACCGGGATTAGTAGTCTCGAAAGTCTGCATAATGCACTTCAAGGAGAGGTGGATGATTGGGAAAGCGAAGAAAAGGGGTAATAGCGAGGTACCTACATAGGTGGCTTGGGGAAGATTAAGTGGTGGTATTGATACGAGGGAGAGGGAATAGGATGCTCTTGTTTTATACTTTTAGGATCTAGCTTGCTATATGCAAACTCGGGTACAACTATCTTAGATGATATATACATTATTACTAATTGATTGGATAGCTGGTCAGACTGTGAGTTTCTGTGCGGGGTGGTCAAATGATTTTTTTTTTCTTTCAATATTCTTTGCGTACTCGTTGTGTGAAGGCAACAGTGTCTTTACCTGATAAGTAAGAATTTGATCACATTCATAGGATAGAGGTTCGTTTTTTAATCTTAATCTTTTAATTCATTACTACTCGAGGTTCTAACTAAAATCTGAACTAATGTACAAAAATAAAGTTCTCTAATTGTGACTAATAATACTCAAGCCGTTCTAAACTTTCTATCCTCTATTCCTAGTACCATCCAGTGATGCTTCCAAAATTCCATTATTCATTTCTCATTCCATTTACAATGCATTATGTCTCCTCCTGCTCTCAGAATCCTCAACTTCCAAGTGATGAGCATCAGCGCCGGTTGTACCCTTCTCCTCCCAAACCATACTGTCCTCTCTCTTCTCAGCTGACAAATCTGCTCCTTCATATCCAATCTTGGTGGCACTGAATCCATCAAGTTCCTTTGCGCAGACAGTGTTGAGGTAGATTGGGAATGCGAAAGCGACGAAGAAACCGATCAATGGAACAGTCATGGCAATATGATAGCCCTTCTTATCGGCAAGAAGACCAGTGAGAGCGGGGAAGAGAGCACCACCTGAGACGGCGGCGACAATCCAAGAAGAACCTCTCTTAGTGTGGCGACCAAGACCACGAATCGCAAGGGTGAAAATTGTGGGGAAGATGCAAGATTCGAAGAAACTGATTAAATTAGTCGCTGATTTCATAATGGGGGAAAACGAGGGAACTTACAGAACAATAGATAACATAGCAACACCAGCCTCGCCCTTAACACCAATAGCAACTGAGATGAAAACCATAATGGCAGTCATGAATATCATGAGTACATAACGGGGTTTGACAATCATCATCATACCAGCGGCGGCAAATCTACCAATTGCAAAGAGACCTTGAGCAATAGCAAATCTATCGGTAGCAACTGCCGAAGAAAGTGAAGCACTCTCCTCAGCATACTTGATGAAGTTGGCTGCAACACCTACTTGAGCACCGACATAACAGAATTGAGCTGCAACACCGAAGAAGAGCTTGTATTGTCTGCGCATGGGTTTCTCTTCGAATCCAGTAAGACCGGCGGATTGTTCGCCTTGGAGTGCCATATCAGCATCTGTGATTTCTGGAAGCTTGCTGAAGAAGAATACAACAGCGAGGAGGAAGACGAAAGCGGCGATACCGAGATAGGTCCATTGAACTTTCGATAAATCTTCACCTTCACCCTCTTTGAAGAAGACTCTGGAAGCCAAAAGAGGGGCGACAACTGAACCGACCGCCTGGAACGCTTGAGAGAGTTCGAGACGGAACTCTGAAAGACGAGGAGGTCCGCAAGTGGCGATGAATGGATTTGCAGAGGTCTCAAGAGTACTGAGTCCGGAGCCGACAATGAACAAACTTCCACAGAAACCGGGGAAGGATCTGTAGACTGCGGAGGGCCAGAACATCAATGCTCCTACACCGTAGATGCAGAGACCGACGATGAAGGTCCATCTGTATCCGAATCTTCGTACGATCCATCCGGAATATGTTAGGGGACCGATGAAGTAAGCACCAAAGTATGCTCCTTGCAAACCTCCGGCCTTGGCAGCAGTAATGTTGAGTGCGGTCTGGAACTTTGCGTTCAAGACATCGAGTAATCCGTAGGCGAAACCCCAGAGAAAGAATAGGATTGTGACAAGGGTGATGGGGTAGATAGATTGTCTGACAGTTAAGGCTGCAGCGCCAGTCAAGCCGGTATTACCAACCGATCGATTGTCCATTACTTCGGCATTGGAAGGACGACGCTGTTCCAAGACATCTTGAACTTCGGGTTCTGTTTTCCTTCCGAACATGATTACGTCGTGAGTTGGTTTGAGGATGATATTGAAGAGTTGATACAAGTGATTGTATATGAGTTTGGATGTGGCGAGAAAGATGGGACAATGAAAGAGAAGAGAGCAAGAAGTATCAGTCAGATGAGACTTGTCGAACTGTCTGGTCTTCCAAAAAAGAGGATATTCTCTTTCCTATTTATCACCATCTGGAGATATCCCCAATGCCCACAATATCCCCAACATTGAAATTTTCGGTGAAATGCTCCTTGGCCCTTCTAGTCGCGCACAACCCGCACTTTCTTGCCTGCGCTAATTGATCAAGAGTTTCCAGGAAGTATCCGTACATAGATGGCGTGTGCTACTACCCGACTACACCAATTGCAGTTACAAATCCAAGACATTTCCTACCCTTAACGCAAAATGAAGACGCGAAAGGGGTTCTTCCCGATTCCCATTGTTGTGATTGGGTCACTAACCCAAAAGCGGGTCATAGATGTCTCTAGAGTTCGAAGGACTCGCCGCACCGCAAACACCAAGGGATTCGCGTCAATACACCCCCATGTCTGGAGTAACTACCACAAGTCGAGCATAATTCCCTCGAGCATCCTTGTAGGAGAAAAGTTATATCCATATTTGAGGCTGTGCTATTGGCCAAGTCTTGCATTTCAGCGAATTTCCCCCGCACCCCGTGGTGCCCCGCGTTCTTTTAGACGCTTGGCGCAAAGTCTGTTTCCACTTTTTTTTCCATCATCACCATGAACATGGCATTTAAATTCCAAATGAACGAATTTCAGAAAGTTTGAGGAGATCGAGAATCTGCGCATCGGATTGATCTCTACCGAACCGCGTGATTTGATTGGTCTCCATGTTCCCCACGGCGAGACCGGTGCCACGCATGAGGCTCTCTGTCGAAGAATATCTTGGCCCGGACTCGCCAGGGCCAAGAGCTTTACTTACTTGCTTGGCTGGAAATAGTTTAAAATTTTCGGCGAAATTATGGATTCGTTGCTTCACCAAACATCATTAGGCTTGTTAGGAGAGAATTGGCATGCATCAATTGAGCGATAGAAAATGATCTCGAACAATTACCTTTCGATAGATATCGACAACACGGTACGCATTGACACTTTGTTCTTGAGGAGAAAGTTAGAGTTTCCAAATCAGCATTCCAATCTGTTATCTCACGAGCTAGAACACACTAAGAAGAATGTCATTTAAGAAGGCCAAGTAATTGCTTAAAAGTGGTGGTAGATATTGTATTTCGTTCTAGCCTCTGACCTAGCGATGAGGTCAATATTGCCCAGAGATGTGGCCACCACAATCTCATATCTAGAGTCAACAGATTCTTGTTTGTCAGTCAGTTGACATACTACATGACAAGAAGGCGACAAAGCTTTCATTTTCGTTCGATAACATACAAAACCTTCTCTCAAGCTCCAGTGCCATGCTACTCATTACCCAGTGATTTGATACAGTTTTTCGTCTCAAATGGCTTTCTTCTAGCTCCATGTGCATGTCCAAGTCCAAGTCCCCCAAACCCCATCCAGTTCCCCAGATTACCTCCTCATTTTGACCAAAGCTTCGCGACAAATCCTTCGAGACCTTTCTTTCCATCTCTCCTCACAAAATCGCGATACTTCTCCAATTCTATCTCGTATTCGTCTTTCATGTCTTGGTATGCGCATTCTCCGTCCTCATCTGTTCTGAAGTATCTTTCAAACTCCTCTCCAGACCATCTTCTCAGCTTATCCTTCATCTTCAGGCTCTGGCGCGCAAAGACTGTGTATTGAAACTTTTCTTTCTCATAATACGGCTGCTCATAAAAGAAAGCCATAGTTCGACGCCAACTAAGTATGTCGAGAAAGCGAGTGCAGTGCTTGCTGGCTAGGACGAAATCGGGATGAAAACCAGCGTACATGCGTTTATAAACTTCCACGTCCGTCCGCTTATACTTCCCAGCAATATCTTGGTATAAAAGCGCGTCTGCGATGGCGTTGCCAATGTTGAGTAGTTCCTCTCCAGACCCTGCGATCCTGATCTGCAGCGTCGAATCCATCTTCATCTTTTCCGTCGATACTTTGTGAGTTCGTATCTGGGCGCCGATTTTGAGGAATGGTTTTCATGAGGTTTGCCTCTCTCGTCAGGGTTTCGACTTGGTCTTCTAACTCGCGGACTTTTTTTTCAGCTTCGCGCAACTTTTGCTCTTTGTCGCGCAATTTTTGGTTGTGGATATTGTGGAAGATTCTATCTGATGCGACAAGTCGATCTGTGACTGTACTGCATCCTATACAAGGTCCAATGGGTAACTGGCCAGGAGTATTCATACTGAGGATAGATAAAGGTGGAAGTGTCGTTGGTTGGTAGAGTGGTTGGTTGGATCAAATTTGCTGAAGATATGTGTCAGAGACTTTGATGCAGCACAACGGCAGACGTGACGCGACTCAGGTATTGTGAAAATAGAAGAACTTACGTATTGAATTTGACGCGCCTCCGAAAAAGGTGAATCGATAAATGCGAGAAGGCCAAAAAATATATTGAGGTGATTGGGCCAAAAGTGAATTTGAGTGAATTGATCAAATTATCTCTGGCTGAGCTGTTTTATTTGTAAGTTAACTTGAGATTATAGTCCGGACAACAATATTGGATGATATAGTTTCCAATGTAGAAGCTATCCAGAAACATTCTGATGACTTCGAAGAGTATCAGACGCGAATACAATCAAGTCGCCATGATATTGCTTTCATACTCGATTTTGTAATCTTGCTATGCGTATCTTCCAAAATTCTCGCAGTATTGAAGTCAAGGAGGTTGGAGAGAGACACACGGTTGTCTTGAAAGTCACAGGTCTGTCGATAAAAGAAAGTAATATGAATGGAATCAAAGACAGATAAAAGATTGTCGCTAACAGGAGAAGCTAATAAGTAATGTTCAAATGGATTGCTTCATAGGAAAAGAGGAGTACTATCTTCAACAAGATAGATGAGTATGAATGACTAAGATGATACACGTTGTTCATTCCTTCCTCGGGAGTTTAAAATTCAAACTTAGATCTAAATTGATCTCTCATTCAGCTCTATCAGACCTCAGCATACAAATCGTTCTTCAAGAAAGGCTCAGGATGTATAGATACATCAGTGGCTATCGTATCTTGTGATTTAATTGTTTCTGAGGTTTCCTTGATGCTTTTGAAACTCTCTTAACCTCAGCTCTGTCTTTGTCATTTGTTGGGAACTGTCAATATCAACAGTAAACGCTTTTTCCTGAATCAGACAAATGTCTGAACTTTCCTGTCTATCTCTGAATTTCAAATCAGAAGCATGCTATCCTCCAATTTATTGGATCTCTAGATGGTATTTTGTATGACCGAGTGGTCATTCTTCCTCTGTTTACACATACCTAGTCGGCGTAAATATCATGATTGTAGGATTAGAAATTCTGACTCGCCATCTATTTTATCCGCTGCAGAAATATCGCAACACTTCATCTACCACTTAAGCTTCCTTCGGATAGTCCATTATTTCATCTCCGTGGTATATCACCCGCTTGAAGAGGCGTATTTGTCGACCCAAACTCTTTTCATGGCCGCACTTCTCCCCTGGTAATTCCGTATTGCTTCGCAAATCCTAAGGAATCTATACTTATAAACCAGGGAAGATGAAGTCTCAGTATGTCAGATTGAGTGGCCAAGAGCTTGAGTGCTCAAAGCTCTTTCTCTTGTTTAACTTGGAACTTCTTCACCTTCAAAACCTCTCTAGAAATTAGATGCACCAGCTAGTTTCGTCAAATGCGCTTGGAAACATATTGACAATGTAGACTGTGAACCTTATTCTATTTCTAATTATGCTTGGTTCTATCATTCTAATAAATTGTTCGGTCCACGATCGAATCCCCCATGTTTTGACCGTTATGTCCGAGTTTCATATAACTAATTAGCATTAAGTGTGTGAAGATAATGAAATTCTGACTTACCAATCCGATTTTCGGCGCCTTTTCTCGTATTCTGCAGTTTCATTGTACTCAGAACATATCGACAAGAAGATAGGATCCGAGGTAGATTCTAAACTTTCATCTCCATCGACATGACTTTGAGATGACGTAAGTAGTTGGCGCTCTTCCATTCCTTCGATAGTCCACATGGTCTTCTGAAAATTCCGCTCAAAAGCTGTACCGAAAAGGTGGACAGTCTTGAACTTCTTCATTTCATATCGCATGTCAAGAAGCTTTTGTATTCTTGGAGAGTCCTTGTGCTTGGCGAAGGTCTCAATGCTAATACCGTACCAGAGCCTAAACCATTCGTCGTCTCCATCAGTTGGACTTAATTCTGTCCTTCTCAATACAGCAAGACAGCTGATTACACAGAATTATTAGCCGACATTCTCATATGGCTGATGCTAGAATAGAAGATACAAACTTACTTTCCACCATGTGCAGCAAGATTTCCCTGATCTATGATCTCCTCGTTGCGTGCTCTGGGATGCTTACACCACTCAAACTCGCGAGCCAGGACACTTTCAGCAAGATCGCGATACGGAAGATGCTCCTTCTCGACTTCCATGATTCGAGTTTCGCAGTTTTTATTCAGAGCGTTGATATCTGTCTCGAGTTTCATGATTTGAGCTTTGTAACTCGCATGCAGGGACTCAATAGCCTTCTGGTGAGCGTCTTTGAGCTTGTCTTGCTTGATTTTTTCTTCCGTGCGCTTTATATTCGCTTCTTCTTTCATACCATCTATTAACTTGCCATGAGATGCTATCAACTTTTCCTGGCAGTTTATCGTTTCTATTTTCGGTGCCGATAATTCGTTCCTGAGACTTGTAATCTCTTCGTGCTTCTTACAGCCCATCTTATATTGATACTCAGACTGGCAGTAAGTTGCTTGCAAGATTTCGATGGTTTCCAGATATGAATACGAAGTCTGCCACTTTCTGACAAGAACTCTGTAGTCCTATAGAATGATATCAGCATTTGGTACACGGTCCACTACATTCTTTCAACATATTGGAAGACTCACCGAAGGACCGTTTTTTTAACTTAACATGCTGGTTCGCACCATCTTGGGTAGAGAATATTGCCAACCCCTTTTTCTTTCAACCTGCATTGTGTTGTATTCTACCCCCACTGACGTCACGCCGTTATCTGTATTGAAGTAAAACCCTGTCAGAATGCCGACATCGTTTTGGGTGAGTGACAGAGAGAGAACGGCTAGATCTATTTTCATATATTTTATCTGAGCTGATTGTAATACACAGTGCTCACAATCGGCATTCGCCTTGTCTGTAGAAGCACTAGGAATACTTTTTTCGATGTTTGAAGGCTCTGGTTTTACTTCAATATCTTTAGACATGTTCTTTCGCTGCAGTTCGAGTATCGTTGCTGTTAGCCTTTCCACCTCGCTTAGATGGGTCAATCGTTCCTTGTCGAAATCTTGCTTCAATACTTCCGTAGTGATACATCCAGTTTGTATGACAGACTTGAGCTCCTTTACTGTTGCTTGTAGCTTCTCCTTCTCTATCTTCGAGACCCTGATCCCACCCTCATAATTCAACACATCATCTCCATATTCTCCCTAAAGCTCTGCATAAGCATGATTTTTGGTCTTTAGTTCTTCTCGTGTATTCTCTAAATTTGACTCGAATTCTTTGATGACAAGGTTTAATCCAGAGATTTCGACTTTTGATTGTTCACGTGTATTTCTGAGTGCATCCTGTGTATCCTTGAGCTTATCCTCTAGACGTCGCATTTCACTTCGCAATGCATTCGAATCCGTTTCTTGACTCTGGAAACAAGTTTGCAGTTTCTGGATCAATTCCATTTAATTATCAATGACGGGTGTCTCCTGGGTAGTTATGCCCTCTGCAATTGTCTCCATGACAGGTGTCTCCTCGGTAGTTGCGCTCCCTGCAGTTGTCCCCTTGACAGGTGTCTCCTGGGTGAAAGCTAATTTTGCATCGTTGCTGGTATCATTGCCAGCCTTTTTCTGGCTGCCATTCTTGTTGTTTCGTTTTCCCATTTTGAGTTTTTCAAAAGATTTATGGAATGAAGATGGTTTCTGAGTTGTTGATGATATCGAAAATAATGGAAAATATGGAAAAACCAGATTATCAAAAGATATTGTTAAGAAGTTAATTAATATTCCAGAGAAAGCATCTCCTAATTGATGTGCTCCTACTGCAGTTGATGATCTTGATACAGCTCCTGTTAACCGAGAATGTGCCTAGACCTTTGGTCCACATTAGTTTCAATAAGCGATGCTCATTCACAAATGTGGGTACTGTAGATATACAAATAATTGAAGTATCAAGTGTAATAATTATGATATCCTGAGATGTTAATTTGTAAGAAATAATAAACACTAGTCATTTCAGATTACACTACAGACTCTTGAGAGATTGAACAATAGCTCATTTGTAATTGATATAGATCTAGAGCTGTGGTTATAGAGATACATAAATAGTGACATTATATAAACCCGACGTTTCTTCTAATTGTTGTAAATCTTCCTTTGGTATCAGTATACTGAGTTAATCTAAGCTAGTTCATTATCAATCTTCGTTATTGACCAATCTAATACAGTTGATATACCTATGCTTTCAGGGATGAACTTGGAGTGAAACATAAAGAAGTTATGGTCAGAAAGCTACAATTATCAGTAAAGTTAAACTAGAATCTGAGCAATATCATCTGAACTCCCTAGTGAGTCTTCCATCCAAAGGTTATCTCTTAAGATTCATTGGAGCATTTTGTGGAATACAATGATCATTATGGGTAAACCCCACATTTAGGTCAGGCTGTATGCAAGTCTTAGCAAACAACTACGACAGCGGAGGAATCTACCCAGACCTTACGTGTTATTTGATCGTTATTTGTCTCCCTTCCTCTCTTAAATAGTGACTGCCGTTTCTTGGTTTTTTGCCAATTGATGAGTTATATTTGATTTAATTACAGTGCCATTGATCCAAGATTTTAATTCATAAAAGTGACAGACCTTTAATTACTACCTATTCCCTTCATAAAGATTAGCTATACTATATAGAGAAGACATTAGATTGAGCATGTAGGTCTATTAATAACGTCACTTCACTCCGTTCATATTATAGATGAGCGAAATTGAATGCAAAGATAGGTAGTTGAAGTATTTTATTCAATTAACAAGTTTCCAGAAATAAAGTAGTAGAGACAGAAATGCGTAGATGCATTGTGATATGGCCCCTCTGAAGATGGCCGTTATGCTAGTAACAGAACAGATATACCAAAGACATGTAAAACCAATAGTTCGCGAATTGAGTCTGCATTGTTGAGATCCTCTTTTGCGCCTGGTATTTAATCTTAATGCTTAGTCCAGGGTAAAGCATCTTTCGCAGAGGAGAAGAATTCTTTGCCATATTCCTCGATTTGGTCGAGTTTGCTTCTTCTCTGAGTCTCTGCCGTCCAAACCGAGGCATTAGATTTCACGCTTCTGAAGCTTCCTCCGAAGATAGATTTCTTTTTCCTGCAATGAATTAGTAAAATATTTGATGTGTAAATATCAGGGTACTTACGGATCTCTACTCTCTCGGAACTGCTTTCTTTGGCAGACTCTTGCAATATCCCAGATACTACATAGTTTCTGGAACATTTCTCTTCCGCTCTTACTTTCTAACAGAAACCTATCAATCGACTCCGGTGTTACTTTTGAATGTTTTTCCAGGCTTCCAGCGAGTAGTTTCTGAAATCCCTCTTCAAATTCTGTATCAACAGCCCGGTTTTCTGCGCCGCATCTGTACAATTCATAACGCATGTTTATAAGCTTCACAAACGCTGCGCTTTTTCCATATCTCTCCACCGTGTCTATAGATACACCATATATCTCTTGGAACCATGCTTGCTCGTTGATATCAGGATTGGATTTGATTCGAAAAACGTCGGCCAGAGAACTACACGAATATTAGCAAGTGAGTCCATGAGGAATAAGAGTAGATTTCACTTACGTTCCACCATGTGCTGAGATATTTCCTGTCTCAATAATGTAGTCGTCCCGAATCTCATGTGGCTTCGTCAGCTCTCTCTTTCGGTTCAAGATGCTGACAGAAACTTCACGATGGGCAGCTAGTTCCTGACCGACTCTCTGCATCTCAGCGGCTGAAGCTAACTTTTCTTCTTCGAGTTTGGCGATTATGCTTTCTTGTTCCTTTAGCTTCTGCTCATATTCTATCTTCTTCTCGGCTGCCAAAGATTTTTTGTTCTCTTCAAGGTTGGCAATAACCATGCTCTGTTCTGTCAACTTCATTTCATAGGTGTTTTTGACTGCAGCTACCGAGTTCTTGGCTTTCTGTTCGATATCGGCGACAATAACTTTCAGTTCGTTCAACTTTGCCTCATACTTCCTAGTTTTCTCGGCCACTGATAATTTCTCCTTTTCCTTCAAGCTTGCGATAACTTTATTTTGTTCCTTCATCTCTTTCTCATGCTTACTTTTCATTTCAAGAATCGAAATCACTTGGGTTTTCTCTCTCTCCTGAACGCTAGAAAGAACGCTAGCTTGCACCTTCAACTTTTTTCTTGCTCAATGCTGTTTACACTTTAGCTTTGTGTTCTCAGCCGAAATCTCGGAATGCTCAGAACTGATTTCAGTGCTGCTTTTTGCTAAGCGTCTGATTGTTTTATCGAGCTTCATAAATTGATCTTCGAGCCCCTTGTTGCTAATAATTATCTCAAGGTCATCCCGTCTAGTGTGCGTCATCTGCCATGATGCAACTGCCGATTCGTAATCCTAAAGAGACTATTAGATTTTCTCACACAACTGTTCACAGGGGGTGGAAGTTACCTCGCGATCTTTCCATAAGCGTGTTGTATCGAAAGTTTGTCTCTTTTGAATGATATCGCGAATGAGAGGTGCCCAAGTCTCTCTAGCTTTAAGCTGAGCGTCGCTGTAAACTATATTTGATTCGGCGTCGATTTTCTCAAATATGCCGGTCCTGATTTTAGTCAACCTTTTCTCTGCTCCAGCTATCTCATTGGCTATACCCAATTCCCTGATTGCTACTCGAAGCCATCTGTTTTCCGTTTTCAATTTGAGATTAGCTTGTTTCAGTTTATCGATCTCTGAGATTTGGGGCTGTTCAACGGGCAGGTTCGGGACGTCATTCCGAAACGTGAGTTGGGTGCTGGTCGGAGCGTTTATAGGCGGCATTTTAGACTATGTCGAGTTTGAAGTAAGAAATCGTAAGGCTTGGTTGACTATTGTAGGGTCGCGACCATAGTTTTATCAGTCGTAGTTAAATATCAAAATATATGGAGAGTGTGTCGTGGAAACTTTATGGGTATGTTTTCTGAAAGACTGGAGTGACCGCTTTTTACTACCAAGTTAAGCGAAAATTATAAGTTTCACTACTGCTAATTCATAAGGATGTTTCAATTCACTCGAGATACTGTCTGCCAAGCATCAATACAGACTTGTACCTAGGAGTAATAGCAATCTAGCTAGGTATTTTCAATAATCACATACAGGCAGATACTGCAACACATAAGACCTAAGCTATGTCGTTTGTTTTGAGCTATCTGGGTGATAAAGAGGACTAGAATGATTTTCAGAGAATATTGTTAGAGCATACAATGATCATATTCAAATCATCTTGGATTAAAGTATTGTAACCCTTGATGGATGTATGACTAGAGCACAGCCACATGCGCATCTTTGATTACCTATACTGCGGTCACTTGGTACATCCATACATATAGTGAAAGTCTAATCGTGTTGATCCTTGCTTGTAATTTTCGACAATTCTGTTCTCTTGCCGTCTGCATTCACTCTCTGGGCCTTTCAGGCAGGAGAGTTAGAGTAATGTGACCGATAGATTACAAGTATTTGAGAATTACATTATACGCTTGCTGAATTCACAAAGATTTATGAAATTTTGAACCAGATAATTTTAGCATGTACATAATTAGGTAGTGGCTAATCTAATGAAGCAAATTGCTTTTTGGGGATAAAACAAATGAATCTGTACAATGAAAAAATAAGGTTTCGTCAAAAACCAAGAATACGTATGCGTAGATTCATACTAAATGACCTTGTCATAATTACAGTTCTAGAAAACCAAAATATGCACATACTATATATTATATGAGTGAGGTTGAGTACATCAAATATAAACATTATCGGATTACCCAATTGTTCCTATTAAGGTACAGATATTTCTTGCGGTATTTCGTCCTCCCACAGAATGCAGAGGTCGAAATAGGCGCGTCTGGGTTCCGTATCCGTATTTCCCACAAGGATGCTTTGCATTGATTCGGTTCCCCGAGCCTTGACCAAAATCTTCTCCAACAGCTTTTGAAAACCCTCTTCAAAAACATCAGCAATATTCCAATGTTGTATTTATAGCGATAAACCTCGTATCTCATATTAATGAGTCTTCTGAATGCCGTGCTGCTTTCGAACTGCAATACAATATCGGGAGTTGTACCGTAATATTCCTTATACCATTCCAAATCGTGTCGCAAGTGGACTTGATCCGGTAAGCATCTGCGAGACACCTTCTAAATGTTAGCAATTAGATCTTCAATTTGTTGAGAAAGAAAGAGATTAACTCACGTTCCTCCATGCGCAACCTTGTTGCCTTTTCAATGATTTTGATGTCGCGTCGATGAGATGATTTGCTCCATTCGCTTTTTCTCTTCAGAATACCTTCAACTACTTCACTGTAAAACTTCAAGCACATGATCCAGGTCCATAAGCTCATTATTCCGATTCTGAAGAGTACTTCGTAGTTCCTCCCTTTCTTTCTTAAGACTGGTAATGATATGATCCTTTCTGCTCAATTCCTCGCATGAATGTTTCAATTGAGTACGTGCTAATTTGGCAAACTTGTCACTTTGCTCCTTGGCTTTGTCAGCAGCCGATGTCCGCGCTGACAATCCTTTGCACTGGATTTCTTAAACCATCCAAGCGATTGGTGAGCAGGTGGGTCAATTTGTTCTCTTCAGACAACTTCTGCTTTATACTGTCTAGCATCTTATCTACAAGTGAAAATTCCTCTCAGCCAACACCTTCGAGGCGTTGCAACGGGACTGGGTCAACGCGGACTGAAGGAGTCTGTTACCCCTACGAAGTGCTAACTTCTCCTTGATAAGTCTGTCTCGTTCTTGTTGATGCTGAGATCGAATTTTCATACTCTGGCGTCTGGATTTCAAGTAAAGATTTTTCCAGTCAGTTGTATCTTCGCCTAAATAACAGTCTTCCTTTTTCTCAAGCATTGAAGTATTCAATTTCATGGGATTACCGCTCATACTTTCATGACTAGTAAGCTGGGATATATTCGGTAGTGATGCTGGCAGGGAATTTTGAGATCTTGGGGTGGGAATCGGAGTCTTTCGGTCCGTCATTGTTGATTCGTTAGCCAACAAGTTTATATAGTTGTAGTGTTGATTTGTTTGTGTGATCGAAAACTTTTGAGACAAGAGACCGAAAAAAAATCAAAAGGAAGTGGTTATGGTCGCAGATTTGGAAGACTAGTCCGTGAAATGATGATCAATAATGAACGAAAAGAATGGAATCAGTCTTGTAAATGTTTGAAGATTTTATACTAAGATTTAGATGTTGGCACAGTCATGTGGTTGTACTGACGATAGCGCTAGCGACTCGAAACTACTGTAGCAACAGTTTTATGTACTTAGATACGTTCAATTACATATAGACTGGTTTCATTCCAGTAACATAAACATCGTGAGCTGCAGTATTATATCGACCGCAACACATCTTTGGTAGATGGCCTGTCTGTGTCTTAGCTGCTTTATACATGAGGAGTCGCATGTCCGCGAAAACTTTCGATTAAATTATACGTCACCATGGCTACGAACACACTTCCTAGCTTGGTTTCAAATTCCGACCCTTCCCATCGTGTATGTAACACCCAAAGACATGTAATATAGCAGTACGTAGGTACTATTCGTAAGTCCAGGGGCATCCATATAAGGAATTAAGCGAGATTCACGTGTTCTGTTCAGGTACGGTAGGTGGAAAAAAAAGATTAGGCTAGTGATTTCCTCTGATAGTTGAAGGCTGAGCGAAGATATTATCATCAATTATTAATTTTAGAGAAGAATCGAGTCCAAACTCTTAAGTTTGAGTTTTCCTACTCACTAGCGATAGCGGGCGCATTATCTGTATAAGTGTTATCTTCACTTATTGGTTTCAATTCGTGTGTGTAAATTTGACTTGTGAAATAAGTTGAGAATTTTTATAGATACAGTAATCTATTATTTTGCCAGTATGACCCATTTGTATCGTGTAAATTGTCCTTATACAATCGTAAGTTATCAAAAACAAGTAATCTCCCTCATCACAGGCCAGCTTTTTCCACACCAAACTAACCGTCCAGGCTCCAGCCTAGAGAATCTTCTCTATTGCACTCTTCACGCCCTCACTGATAGTTCCCATGATACTGCTACCTTGTTTCCATCTAGAACGATTTGTTCTTCCAGAGAAGTTAGATCTTCGTCCGAAAGACATCGTTTTGCTGTTTTGTGTCTAGTTAGCATAATAGAAGAACAAGATTGGAAGTCTCTTTGCTTACGGATCCTTCCTGATCTCCTTGCGAGTGGTCTGATCTTTATCAATTGCTGCGACCCAATTGCTACAAACTTCCTGAAATAATGCCTTAACAACTGGGTCTTTCAACAGCAGCGCCTCCATGATATATGCATCATCTTTATCAGTTTGGCCTTCCGCGGGTAGACTTTCGTTGATCTGCGTCTTTATTTTCTGGAACGTAGTCTCAAACTCGCTGATAATCTGCTGATCGATGTATTCGAGATTTCGCAAGTCGAATCGCATATTAATGAGTTTTCGAAACGCAGAACTCCCCTTGAACCTCTGAGCACCTTTGTCTGTTACGCCATACCCCTTTTCAAACCAGTCTGAGTCGCCATCCATAGGCTTGATTTCCATTCTTTGCAAGTCTGCTAAGCATCTATTAGTTTGATTAGTAAGTTTACAATTGTCTTTCATCAATTGAAATCACTGACCTTCCACCATGAGCAGCAGAATTACCTTCCTCAATCAGGGGTGAGTTTCTCAGATTGCCAGGTTTGGAAAGCTCTCTCTTACGGCCAAGTATCTGAACTGCAACTTCGATTAGTGGCTCGTGTTTTTTATCAAGAGTCGCAACATCTGCGAGGAAGATGTCTGAAGATTGGCGATCTCCACATTTTTTGTCTGGAGAGATGTCGCATGTTCTTTTGCCATATTCTCAACAAGAAAGCTGTTTTGGTTCTTCCATGCACGTAGCTGGGCAATTTTGGTGTCCTGTCTCTGGATAATCCTGTCCGCTTCTATTAACTCTTTGCGAGCTATCTTTAATTCTGTTTCCTTCGAGTTATCTAAGATAGGACTGGTGACTGGCACGGTCGTCTCCTTGGCATGGTGATTTTTATGCCCAGAGAGTGGTTCAGAATCGACATCACGAGCTTCGTTGGTCACTTTTGTTCCGCGTTTTTGAAGTTCCTCCCAAGTCATTTTCTCTACCCCATGGTTCATTGAGAACTGGGGTAGTACTCGTAGTAGGCTGTGCTGTACATGGCTCGAATACATCTATGATTGTAGGAAGCTCGGTAGTGTTGGGTTGTTCGTTTGTTTCATCCACGGTACTCCCCTTTGTGTTGAACGCTACCTTTAGCCTACGAATGACTCCTTCTTTCATGTGTTCAGGGGACTAAACTCAAGTTAAAGAACCCATGTGCGAGATCTATCAGGAATATTTTTCGGTCTGCTTCGGGGATGTCCATAAAATTGATGACGTTGTCATTGACCGAGACTCCGTTGTTTCGGGAAGAGGACATCGTAGCAATTGCGGAAATGCGGACTATATTTGGAAGTAATTGTTGAATAGTGGAGAGTTGAGGCTATCACCACGTCGGAGAAATACTTGAGGTAGTGTGAAAGAAACAGCTTTCAAGACTTGATAGGAAATTTTGTTCGTATTATTGAAATCAAAGTTAATGTTGTAGTCTTAAACAAAAGGAAGTAATAAAAGTGTCAATATCACTCGAGTATGGTTCTTTCAGTATCTATTTCAGAAGTTCTTGTTTCCTGAATATACAACTGTAGTCATACAGGGTTATATTTCCCGGAGATTATCCCTTTGCCTCACTAAAGCATGCAATCTCGGGTGCTTGATAAGCTTGTGACTCTTTTCAAGTAGTGAATTTAGTGGAAACTATTGCATTTTCCAATGTAATAAAGATTCAACAAAATTGAGGGGTGGAGGACATGAATGTCAAGAATCATGAATAATAGAGAATAACAAGGCAGCCAAACAAAAAAATTCATAAGGAACCATGCAACAATGCACTGGTAAGGTCGAGTTAACTATTTAAAGGCTACAATATATATATATATATGTGTGTGTGTGTGTGTGTGTGTATATTTAAAATCAAAACTTGCAACAGCATATTTGATGCCCTCTTTTCTGCGGAGTTAAGTCTCAGCTTGTGTCTTTCATCAATGATGTATTTCACAACTAGGCGAGGTTGTCAGGGGGTAAAAGCATGCGGAAAATGTCGAGAGTAAATAATGTCACATTGTAAACCAGAGATCTCAATGAAGAGACAAACTCGGCGAGAGTCATTCTGATTCAACTTCTATCTCGCAGGATAAAGTTGTCATGGTGGAACTGTTCTGTCAAATTTGGCATGGGTGACTTGTCGTTCCGGGTGGTTTCATTACAATTTGGGATGTTTTTTACATACTCAGACCATTAGCTATTGACTACGTAGCCGTCAGATTGTTTGTCAATATTAGACGCATGGTAGTTGACAAGTCATTATCAGATTTAAGGTAGATTGGATGATGTGGATTGTTCGACCAAAATGCTAAGGCGAACTGAATGCTGATTCTATCTTAATACCTTCGTATGAATTTTCTCCAAACCCCACCAGTTAGCAGATACCCAAATTGCTCTCGAGGGGGCTCCAAGTCATCTTCAGTTCGGCTTTCGAAATCATCCTTTTCCTTTTCACTTTATCTATGGTGCCGATTAAGTTTTCTTTTATCAGCGTAAAGTTGACATTTGATCTCGTTCAACTCTTCAAGCTCCTTGCATACTTTAGCATCCGCAGCCCACTCAACATCATTCTTAAGCTTTTTCTGCGGGTGTACCTTAAAAATAAGTAAAGCCACTCGACATTGCAGCTGCTCATGGTTCAAGTTCCTCGCAGACTTCAAGTCTAGAGGCAAATAAAGTCTGAAGCTGCCATGTATGTTGACCAGTCGAACAAAACTGTAAAATGATGACTTGGCAATGATGACGCTAGGTTCAATACCATAGATATCCTTGTAGTGTTCCGAGAAGCTTTCCCTGTACTCGAGCAGGGACGGATGAAGAACAGCAAATGCATCTGCAACTGGGTTTGGACCATGTGCAGCAAAATTGCCATGCTCTTTGAAACGTTTCTTAGGGATTGAAGGATTTTGGACAGATCCTGGCAAGCTGGAAGTTATCAATCGATGCCGGATTAAGAGACCGATCATAGACAGTGCACTCATTTCTTCCTTCTGCCTCTTGAAATCATTAAGTTTAACTTTCATATTCTTAATGATCTCCCTCAATGTGTGCCGTCCTGCCTCATTTTTTATTTCTATTTCATGCTCGGAATCTTTCAAGTCGGTCGATTCAGAGTCGTCAGAGATGTCGGAGTCCTCATTTTCGTCGGAGTCGTAGGAATCCTCTGAGTCGCTGGAATTATCGGAGTCATCGGAGCCGTCAGAGTCGTCGATATTATTGGAGACTATTGGGTCATTTCTGTTGATAGATGCTTGTTCTTGCAGCTTGATGACTTCCCTGAGGCTTTCGATGCTGGCATTTTTCTCCCTAATGGTCTGTCGCAGTCCATCGATGATGCTTCTGTTGACTTCGCTTTCCGTCTTTTGTGCCGCGAGTTCGCATCGAAGGGTGGCAGTAATGCTCTAGGGCGGAGGATATTAGCTCATGTCAAGCAATCAAAATCTGAAAACATACCTTGAACTGCATAAACAGTTCTTCTTCCTCCACCTTGGCACGCTCTGGATTCCCTTGATGTTATAGGACTCTCGATGCCACAGGGCAAATTGCGGCGTTGTTGGTGACAAGAGAAGCTTGAAGGGACACCGATCTGAGAAAGGTTCGATTGTTTTTCTCGATTTTTCTCTCAAAAGATTTACGCGATCTAGTCGCGGGTTTGAACAACAAGTGAATTTACATCTAAGGTCGGGAACGCGGCGCAATCAACTATACCGTTTCAATGAAGAAGATCTCACAGTCATTTCAATACTTGATTCTTATGTTTGCTACCTACGCTCAAAACTCGGGAGCAAATACTAAGAATTCAAAAGAATGCATGTAAACGAAATAATTAGTGAGAGGTTTTTGTCTTTTCCAAGCGAGTTATTTACCATACATCACGGTATCTCCAATAAAAGAATCGTATATTTTTATTACATCCACTCGTGATGCTCGCAAGCCTTTGTGACTGAGCACTATGTTTGCGCGGTATTGCTTATGCTGTTTTTGAAATTCTTCTCGAACGCTCCAAAGCTTATGGCATTCTCTAGACAAGGCCTCACATTGGCGAGGATTGTCGTTCATATTATATCTCTCCCTAGACTTAAAAAAAACGAGTTTTTAGAATGTTCTAATTGCCCCCTATATTCTCGGCGTTCATAGTATGTCAAGCTTCTACAGTACCATGATTTTAATTTCCAATAAAAGTTGACCATATTTAAAATATGCGGCCTGTTACTACCGGGATATGCGAGCCCAAGAACAATTTCGGGTGTAAGAGATTTATCTAGTCATACTAGCTCCTAAAAGCAGGATCTGGGCAGCTTCCGAAATTATGCTGCGGGTTTGACATCATCGCCATATGCACATCACAGCATGCATGAGCATCGGGTGCTGCATCATTGTCAGATTGTATGATGCCCTCCCTACGGACAGCGCCAACCAATTCTGAGTTCAGATTCCAGTTCTATCCTTCAGGCCCTAGCCTTGAGGTTAATGCGATCTGTTGCATCTATTCGGGCTCCGTCATCTCTCGACTCGATATTCAAGTGCTCAAGTACTTACTTCCAGTAGATAACTTCCGGAATCTATTGCTGAGCTATTTCATCTCATAGCTTCTTCCGTCCTTTGCTAAGCATCTTCCTTTGTTTAGACACTGTTTTAACATCTTGATCTGGAAGGAGTAAATTCTCCTTCCGCAATCTTTTTATTTTTCTCTGCGATGAATTTCTGGAACCCCCTGATATTGGTTCTATGATAATGATTCAAGGAGATCAAGTCCTGGAAATAAAGTATTCTACAGGTCTCTAGCTCCATCTTCTTTTCGGCCAACTTCCGCATTATATTGAAAATGCTAACCTAAAGGCAAGATTAGCATAAACGAAACCGAAAGAATGTTTCACTGAGTTTTTTAACATATTATTCTTTCATTGTTTGGCTGTCGTCAAAATATGTGAAGTTGGGGGTTCTTGTTTGGGAGGAAAATCAGATGCCCAAGAGAACTGGAAGAAGAAACTGAGTTGAAGGGTATCGGTGGCTGAAATTCTGTAAAATATCGATATTACAAGTACGTAGAAAAGTAGCTAATTGAAAGCTAGCCAGCGTACACACTATGTACCCTCCCTCATCTGAAGTGTTACATTTATAGATAGAATGAGCATCATGTTTCTCTCAACTTTGCTTTGACCTTTTGCGGGAGAGACTTAGATTTGCACGGAAACTTCTATGTGCAGCTTTCAGCTTGGACATTATACGTTGTAGATCTCCAAATTCCTTCACCACTTCTTCGTCCTCCTCAAAATCATCATCATTTACAAACTCTTCTAGAGTAGAAATCCTATCGACAAGATCTTTGATGCGCTTTCTGAGCATACAGTATGTATTACCTACCATACCGTCAAGATTCCACAGCCTGAGATTCTCATACCAGTTGATCAAGTAAACCAGGTAAGAGAATCCTGTATCCTGGGATGAATGCGGTTTTGATGACTTGAATACAAGCTCAGGAGAGACAATATAATTCAACAGGAATTGCTCCCTAAGTCCAGGGCACCGATTCAAAGTCGCATTCCCGCTTTCGGTGCCAACTTCAACGGTGGGGTCAAATTTACCAATCATATGAGCATCGGAAATTGCATCTGCGCCATGTGCAGCAAAGTTTCCGGGGTTTAAGATATTATCTCTAGCTGTAGAGCCGGTTCTGGCTGCGAAATCAAGCTCCAACTTGCGAGCTCGAATCTTAAGACCTATCTCGGATAATGGCTTTCTGAACGATTCTGTCTCTTCGAGAAACTTGTGGCCGGAACTTGCACTGCTTTCCTTTTCGCAGATATACGTAAGTTGACTGGACAAGTGTTCAATGACATTCTCATTAATTGCCTTTCCCTCGGCATCCAGCTGCACCACCTTGTCTACGTGATGGAGTTTTTTCTCTGCGACACATCACATTAGTATCAGTAGATATTGATCCAAACTGTAAGCTTTCTTACCTCGATTCAATCCGTCTGCCAGTTCGAGGACTTCCAAACTACCAAAAACTGGTCCAGAATTTGGTTGCGCACTTGAAGGGAGTAGAGCTTCCTGCGCTATGGTTCTATCTTTGTCTGCCAAGATTTGATTTACGCTCGAGATGATACGATCCTTTCCTGCGATAACTCGGTCATTGTTATCGACGTTTCTCTTGAGGGCCTCGTTTTCTTCGCAAATGTTCTTGAGAGCGTCGGTCTGCTTAGGCGCTTTAAGTTCTTTGGTTTGATTCTCGTAGACAGAGTGTAGTATCATATATCCTTTTTGCCAGTGTTCTAATCTAGAGCCAGCATCAGAGACTTCCTGCTTGGGGCTTTCATTAGAGGTCTTATGAAGATAATATCCCTCTTCGCAACTCTTTTCTTGCCATGCAACAACTTTTTGAAGTTTCTCGATGGTGATGTTTCGGTCCTTGATAGTTTGATCTTTTTCTGATATAGTCGTGTGAAGTTCTTTGATCTTTCGATGAGTTTTGGGGGCGTCGATCAAAGCTGATCTAAAAGAGCGAAGAATGTAGTCATTATCTTCTTTCGCCTTTTTCAAAAGAGCATCCTTCTCCTCGAGCTGCTTTTTCAAATCGCATATCAGAGCCTGTCAAGTAGTCAGTCACACGCAGCTTCACAGCAAATTTAAAATGCAAACAAACCTTAATGGGCTGAAAAATCTCATCTTCTTCCATCTTATGAGATCGCCGACGAACTTCCAAATGCAAGGTTGCGAATTTTGTTCTCTTGGTTATGAATACGGGGCAAAATAACGTCAAGCAAATCCGCCGCCAAACCCGAATTTGTAAAGATCGAAGTGCGAATCAAATTGGTAAACCAAGTAAAAGCACAGTATTGAAGAGTGTCGTCAATATTGTACATCAATTGAGCCAAAGACACCGATAAACAAATTGTCGTGGCGCGATTCCTGAGCGCGACAGCAAAAGAAAGTGAAATTGAGAAATTATGCGACCAAGATCGAAGTCGCAGAAATCAATCCGCGCCTCTGATAAATTGATCTAGAGATAGCGCACTCGCGGTTGCTGTCGTCAGTTCCTATCCATCAAACGAATTTTGGTGTCGTCGAAATGTTTCGTGTATTGGGGCAAAGTGGACAGAAGAGACGAGACGAGAGATTTTGGATTAGACGAAAAGTTGCGGAGAATTTTTATACCGGATTGAGAATTGAGGGATGTGAAAAGTAAATTACTTGCCATTCCTGACATCTCGATGGCATAGAATATATTGATTTAAACTTGGGAGACTTCATTTTGATGCTGGTTGAGTGTTAACTTTGTTAAATTCAAGGATAATTTTGTGGGCTGCTCATCGTGGACTGGACAGAGGAAGAGTTACTCTTATAAATGGGGGATGGACATGTTAGAGAATCGCTTGCACACATTATTAGTCTGACAAAGCAATCAAACGCTGTTTGTAGATCGCCAATAAGCAAGCTAGAGCAACATCTCCAGCTTTGTGATGGATTCTGGAGAATCATGTTTGTGTATTGAGTATTTTGATTCTTGTCTATGATCTAACTACACTGTTTTGTGACAGCTCAGGGCAAGAAAAACTGTAATGTAACGTTCCACTCCATCGCCGTTTGATATATGTCAATTCCAGCCATCATGATAATAATCCGAAGTTGGCCAAGGCTCGATGTAATATTCCTGTAAATCTGCAGCTCTGATGTTTCCAGGACTTTCAGATTGTGCTGATATGGATCATTCTTACTTACCTTACTCCTAGTTTCTCTGTTTCCCCTAGATGCCCTACCTCCTCTAGTTGTCCTCCCTCCTCTAGCCGTTCTACCTTTCCAACCTCTCATCGTCCTGTTCCAGTCTTCATGCATTGACTTTTGATATGGAACAGGAAGAGTAGCGGGACTAGTACCCCGCATATCTTCCAGCGAACTTTCTTTGGTAGTTACGGTACACGGTCCCCAACCATCATCTATCGGATTCTGACTTTCATCAGATGCTAATCTGACGCTGGATACCGATGGAAGTCCATTCCAATCAAGAGGAACCGGCTGGAGAGGGAGACCAGAATTCATATGGGGAGGAGTATCAATTCGATCCTCAAAATATTGACTTTGACTCATACCAGGCTTCGAACTTTCTTCCGTTGGACTCTTGTTGTTGATGGGAGACTCTGCTCTATGAGTAACCTTGATTGCCCAATCCTGTCCACCGACTTGGACGTGGTCGACTTCTAAGAAAACAGGTTGATCGACTCGTTGATATTTTATCTTGTTCATATTTTCCTCCTTTAGGTACAGGCTTTCTAGTTCTCGGAGGATAGAGTCCCACTTGATTAGTTTCAGCCAATCTTGCTTGTGAGCTGTAAACGGGTATATGCCAAATTTTGTACTCTCTGTAACGAAATCCGTCCTAAGATAATCTCGGTTGGTGCGCCATTGTTTGATGCGAGCGAACCAGTTGATAACTCTGATCAATGGCTTTGAGTGATCATAGCTAGCCATTGAAATAATCTCGATTGGAGAATGGTAGTAAGTTTGTTGGTATAGCTCGTCATCATGAGGCTTTTCGCACTTGTTATCAAACAGTTCAGGGACAAACATTACAGCGTCAAGTAAAGCGTCAGCATAATGTGCGACCTCGCCTCCCTTCTCAATGACAGTCATATCCCTTCCTTGCGGAGTCTTCAGCCATTCTAAATGACGACTTCGGATTGCAAAGCCGGCTTGTTGTGGAAGTGCGCGTAATGTGGCACAGAACTCTTTCTTTTCCAGTATTGCCTCTAGTCTCATGCGATCCAATGTATGCCGCCTTGTCAATTTTTCATGGGCTTGAGTGCTATCACTATTATGCGTTCTTTCGATCTCAGTGAGGGCAAGATTCAGATCGACAGTCGTCTTGAAAGTTTTCCGGACGTTTCTCAGCCATGCAGTAACTTCTTCAAAGTCTGTCTCATCGAAAGAGACACCCATGCGCGACCAAACTTTGAAGAAAGTCGTGGAATCAAATGTTTGCGGACTGTAGCTCTTTGCTAAAGCATATTGGTTTACCAAATCTGCAAAGTTAGGAAATTTTTCAAATCTTTTGGCAGTAGTCCATTTGATACCATATATTCGAGTAAATGTTTCGCCGTCGGCACGATGTCCTGGTATTTGAGGATCAAGGTATAGAGTCATGTCGGCAAGAATATCAAAATCATGAGTCGATTTAGATCCATATGGAACAAGTGCTTGGGTAGGGGCGAAAGAACCTGGGTTACGCAACCGATGACTCTCAACGAAAGTCGTTCGCACCTCTAGCCCAACGGTGTCAAACTCTGTGCTTTTGCAGCTTAATGCTTTTTCCACAGCGTCCTTCATAACAGTTTCAAACTCTGTTCTCTGACGACTCAACGCTTTATCCACGGCCTCCTTCACAGCAGCAGCAACGTGTTTCTTCGCTTCCAAATCTTTGTTTCGGTTTTGGTTCTCCCAGGACCACTTACAACTTTGATGCTCAAGCTTCAGGTTGTTGATATCTTTTTTCAGCTTTTCAACCTCGCTATTATAGTAATCGCAATGGTCCTTTGCGAGTTGCCTGAGAGACTCCACTTCCTCCTTCAACTTCCCATTTTCTCTGACTAAACATTGCTCCCATGTCCATTGTCGCTGCTGAAAATGTTTGGCTTGCCGAATTGTCTCCAGGTAATGATCCTGCGACAAAATTTCTCCAACAAGTGTATCGTGCGCACTCTTTGCAGTTATCAACGACGCTCTTTCCTCCGCCAATTGAGCGCCCGCTGTGTTCATTTCCAACTTCTTGCGGTCGAAATCCTCTGCGCAACTGCGAATCTTCTCTTCTTTGGCTTCGACTTCTTCTCTCAAGCTAAGTAGTTCGGTTTTCTTTGTGGATAGTTTCTCTTTGATTGCGGTCGTTGGATCTGGAAATTGGTAATTATGGAGGGATGATATGAAATCGCCTTGATCTTCCAAGTCATTGTCTTTAGAATTCATACTTGAAGCTTGATTATGAGGAGATAAATAGGAATCATCAATTCCCCATCCGCCGCCGTCATTGGGGGGTGACCACGACATGGTGCTTTGTGTTTTGAAAAGCTTATCTTGATTTGTATTGTGACTCAAGAGGGTTGAAATCAAGACGAAACCGGGAAGCGGGAAATATATATCTTCGCCAGGCTACCAGTATTTCCAAAGTGAAAATACGCTAAGCCAAATGGATTTTCAAGCTTCACTTACTGAAGCGAAGTTTGAAAATTAAGGATGTTGGCGATGGCGATCATCTCGTGAGCTCATGTGAAGAGACGTAACAGTGTAACCAATAAAAACGAAATCGTCAACGTCAATGACTGAATGTTTATCTTATACATCTTGCGAATTCGCATTTGTGATATCAAAATCTCACAATTATATAAGCGTAATTGACAGTGAAAGGTCATCAATAAACTGCTCTCGATCACATGATTTACCTACGGAGCTCACTTAAATGGCAGATACACTTGTACCAAGCACTTGATCCTCTCCTGGTTTCGTGAACACTCTTCAGCGTTGTTTTCACTCGGAAATATGTATTTAAAACACGCAATCCTATATCGTTGCGTTTGTAGTTCACACTCATATTTTTCACACTGGGTAATTATCTTGTGTTTGACTTGAGTGAAGGTACTTCCATTCGTCATCGCACTCCTACACTCCCACGTTCTACCCGAGAGGCACACTTCAAAGCACATAGAAGTCTCCAATTCCAAGCAAATCATAAAGCACTCATCTATCTCTGGACTTAAATGTCATTATCATTTATCTGAACCGTCCAATCTTCAGTGTCATCAAACTATATACAAAAGAGAACTAAAACTCCTAGTCCATTGGGTATTTTCTGTTGCTTTCTAAAGGAAATTCGTATGCAAGCGTTATGCAGGTGTATCTGTTCGGTCCGTCTAATATAAGTTTCGTGTAGCCAAATTCGTTATCATAAATGTCGTAAAATCCGTCCATATCATATTCCATCTCATTCTCGTTTCCATGTTTCAAATTGATGCTTCGTCATGCGTCATGCCTTCAAGCCAGCGAAATCTTTCTCATGCTTCACGCCAACACTATTTTCTCCGCTCATTTCCAAAAGCACAAACTGCGTAAGGATCTTTCAACGCGTGGGGAATTCCAGTTCCAATTCCAACCTCGACGCTGTGCAGTAAGCGCTGCACACTCACCCGCCAACCACCCCAACATCAACCCAGTTCTCACACACACCAAAATATCTTCCATCTCCAAATCCAATATTCCCATTCCACACCATTCGAGATCAATCTCAAAATCCACGTCCAGCAAATCTTCCAAACCGGAACTAATCCAGTCATTTTGCTCCACCCACCACACTATCCAGAGCATGAATTGACAAAGCATAATCAACGCCAACATGGTCCACCTAATCACACTCTTCACGATACCTCCTTCCATTCTCATCCCCATCCCGTCTGCAAAAAATTCCATCCCGCTTCCAAAAAACACACCCACTTTTCGCACATTCAGTATATAATATGACATCTTTAAAAATAATTTATGATACAGTATCTCTTCTGCCGAACGGCAATCTCGATACCCGAGTGGACTTTGCTACTTTCGCAACAATAGTTTCAAGTGGAACCTGAAGCTGTTCTCCACAATCACAAGCACAAGGAAGATAATCAGACTTACCATTGCCTGATCCCAATCCCACGCTGCGTCTAACCTTCATGTTTCTTCTTTTCTCATCGAGATAACATGCCTTGAGCTTCTTACGGGTAATGTTTCCGCAATATTCGCGCACGGCGTCAAGATCCATGTCCTCGAATGTTGTGTCGATGTTCTTGGTCCAGGTTTTGAAAAATTCGGTTTCCATGTAGTCTGATTTGCGCCAGGCCTTGACAGATGAATGCCAGCGGAGCATTTCAATAAATTCGGCGCAATCTTGGAGACGAAGGACGGTTTGCCAGCTTGCCCAGTACAATTCCTTGAAAGTTTCCTCATCTGTACGTTTCTCGAATGCAATACCCGGAACATGAGAGAAGAGAGTGGCATCAGTAATAGGTCGTCCATTGTAAACACTCGAATTACCCAGTTCGTAGATAGCGTTGCGTTCCTTGGCTTTGGGATCGTATGCGGAGTTTCTCTCGAGGAAACGGTTACGGACACGTTGGCCGACAAAGAAAAGATGCTTCATCGATTTTCGCTGTTGGCTAAGAGCAGAGCGAACAGTTTCGGCGATGTATTCTTGAATCTTGGGATTTTCTTTCCACTCTGAAACTTGGCCTTCGGGATTGACAAAGGTGGTTTCACTTTGAAGTTCTTCGTGTGGAGGTGCACCATAGTCGAAATCTGGGTGAGTTGTATTTTCAAGCTTGCGCTTCAATTCAGAATTTTCGACTAGCAAGGCACCAACGTCGATTTTGCCTTTGTGGTTCACGGCTTCTTCGTAAAGTCTGACTTTCTCTGCCAATTTTTGATTCTCCTCGGACAATTGCTCGCATTCTAGTGTTTTCATACCGAGTGATGACTCCAGATTGAAGAATTTGATGTTGGTCTCTTCTTCCCGAATCTCAGTTGATAATTGTCCATTTCTCTTGATGAAGTATTGAACAATTTCATTCTTCTCTAGTAACTTGGAGTTGACTTCCTTGAGCCCTGATTCGATTTTCTTTGCCAATGCAGCAAGAGCCACAGCTTCAGAATGTTCAGAAACCATGTCTTCAGCGCACTTCTTGAGATCTAATTTCTTCACTGCGAGGCGGTCTTCTGGCGTTTCTACTGGAGTGCTCTCTTCCTCTTCGAAGACTATTTCAGTCTCATCATGAGCGTTTTCGTCATCTTCAAAGATAGCGCCGAGACGTTCTCCAGGAGTTTCATCTGGGTAATTATCTTCATCCTCGAAAACGACTCCAGAGTCTTCCATGAGGTCATATTCGGGAGCTGACGAGGTGGGTTCGGCCATGTTAAAATATCCAGATTCTGACATGGTGAATTGATATACTGTACGAAAAAGAGTGTCGTGATATTTTTATTTAAAGATTGAAATATTTAATAATGAAATGAGAAAAGTATAGACAAGATCAACAACAAAGCTCCCACAATTGGTTTGGTGTTGTGTGCGAGGTTGGATCAAATGTGGAAGCTGTGACCGAAACTAGATATGTGGAAAAACCGGTGTAGAAAAAAAGAAAGAAAAAATTCAAGAAACAACTAAATGACTTGAAGAGTTGGAAGATAAATAAGTTATCTACGAAATGAATCGCAGAGTGATGATGGATGGGGGTGGGTTGTGAAGAGAATAATAAACCAGCGGAACCCAAAGTACATGTATAAAAAATAATGCAGGTACGAACGGTACAGTCAGTCATAGAGTCATCACAAAAAACTTGGTCACCAAGCCGACCCGACAACAAAGCAGCAAACAATGTGAGGGTGTATTGGGCGATAAAGAAACACTTCACTTCTCTAGGTAAAGTTTCAAGGTTTCATGTACCTACTGTTGCGATGCCACGTGTTTCATCTCATTCGTGGTTAAAAACGAGGCGGTGGATACGATCGACCAGATTCTTTCGCAACCGCTGGGCCAACAGATTTTTCGACATACTCCGATGCATATCAAAGGTGGTAAGGGTGCTAACGGGTTCTTCTCAGGCCTCGAGCTGAATCGGACCATCGACGATTGGAGCCTCATTGTTTTTCACACCCGCGATGTTTAGAACTTGGCGGTTTATTGGAAAAGAGAAGCAGTAAGCTGGAAAGTTGGAGGGAAAGTTGGAAGGAAAGGGCTGGGAGGGGGCGGGTTATCCTACGAAGGACGAAGTCGATAAGCTGGCTGGCTGGCTGGGCATCTGCTGGTGGTGGGGCCAAATGCTGTACGTTCCGTGCTTCACTCCTAAGGCCGCCAAATGATATTGAAGAATCGCGGTGTGATTCCCCACACACCTCATGCAGCAAAAAAAGTCCTTTGAATGAACCAAACGTAAGAAGTGCAGTTAGCAAGATTAAATCGAATAGGAATAAGCGAACATTCTGGGTCGTCGTTTATGCAGAGAATCGAGTGGAAGACGATGCAATATAACGGGTCAAAAGTGGTCAAAATCACGAAGGTTTAGTATGTAGATCACAAATTTAGGAAGGAGACGCGAAAGACCATCCACACATGCAAGAATGGGTGACGAATCTGACGATATCTCCAGCTTGTACTCGGGAAACGATAGTAAAAAGATATTGGGACACCCCATTTTGCATCTGCATTTATGCATTTTATGACGAAGCAACTTGCTTCTGGTTCCATTGTACACATTCATCAAATGTGACACCGGAGCCTCCGAAGACATCCAGAGCACTTCCGATTGTAAGATCAACCTTCCCATCACTAAGTCTCTTGACATTATCAAGATCTTGAAGGTTTCTTCCGCCACCAGCATAAGTGACCGGGATACTACACCATTGTGCTAGTTTCTCGACGAGTTGTTCATCGATGCCTTTTTGCAACCCCTCATTGTCGGCTGCATGGATTAAGAACTCGGAGCAATATGGCTCTAAAGATTTTATTGATGCTAGAAGATGTATGAGTTTTCAATGACGAAGAGAGGAAAGAAATGAAATACTCACCCTCATTCACCTCCATATCTGTGATGGTTTGCCATTTATTCATAGCCACAAACCAAGTATCATCTCTCTTTCGACAACTCAGATCAATGACAAGTTTTTCTTTATCACCACCAAGAGATTCCAATACGGAGTTTAGTCGTTCTTGGGAGAACTTCCCATTAGGAAAGAGGAAAGAAGTAATGATGACCTACTATTCCCATCAATATCGAACCTTCCACCTCTAAAAACACGATATAAACATACCCTCTCAGCACCCCATTCAATCCACTGCCTAGCATTTTCATCCGTAATACCACCTCCAACCTGAAGACCATTCTTCCACTCTCCTACAGCTTGTTTCGCAGCCTCCTCATTGCCAGGTCCAAGCATAATGACATGAGCACCTGTAAGATCATTGTCCTTGTACAGTTTTGCAAAATGACCAGCCGGTAATTTCGATACATAGTTGGTCTTCAAGTCAGATGAAGCAGTTGTTAATGTACCGCCTACAATCTGCTTCACCTGACCTGAATGCAAGTCTATACAGGGACGAAATTTAGTCATTGTGAGAAGTTTCTCGACGTGATATCTTGCTGTGTGAAGATATTGACCGACAAATTTCTATGTCGAATAATCCCAGGAGAAAGAAAAGAGAGAATCAACTAATTCCGAGATGTATTGTTGACCCTCTGCCTGTGTAACTAAAATCGTGTTTCGTCTTCCACCAAAATCATATCGGCAGAATCCCGGCACATCACCATAATTTTTTCTTATCCAGAACATTTAATATTCTGGGAAGCTACAAACATCAAATTTGCGAAAATTACCAAATCCCAGACAAACAATCTTCAAGATGCCTGCCTCACTCGGAAAACGAAAGCGCTCATCCGCGACTAATCCTACCAGCTCGAAACTTTCAAAAGTGCCTAAGACTACCCCAATTATACCAGAACCAGTATCTGAACCCCAATCGGAAGAAGAAGCTTCAGATAGCTCTTCAGAAGGCGACGCAGAGGGGGAGGAAGATGATACTGAGGTTCTCGACCCCCAAGAAATATTCCGTCGTCATTTCGAAGCACAGTTCAAACAGCTTCCTCCTACAACCAAAAAGCCTAAAATCACTCCAATAATCGAGAATCCCGACAATGAAGACGAAGATTGGGATGGCTTATCAGACAATTCCGCCGAAGACGACGAGCAGGAAGAAAACGGCGTACAAGTAGTCGAACATGTAAAGAAAATCGATTCCCGGATCGCGGGGATGAGTAAAGGGGAATTGAGGGCTTTCATGGTATGTAATATGTACAACCATTATTTTCCCTCTACTATGTTTCATCCATCTCCCAAAAATCTAACACACTTTATCTAGTCCTCCAAAATCCCCAAATCACGCCCTACACCCTCCCTTTCCAAACTTGCCGAACTACCAGCCGGCTCCGCAGACGACCCAGGCGCAACCGAAGCACTCAATCTCAAAAACGATCTCGCGCTCCAACGACTCCTCGATGAATCGCACCTCTTGACATCGTCCTCCTCTTCCTCAGCGGCAAACTCCCATGCCGTTCATACTTTACAAGGAAAGAATCGATTGAAAGCCCTGGATATGCGTGTCCAAGCATTGGGCGGGAAAACTAGTATACATACACAAGAAAGTATGCCGATGAATATGCGAAAGGGGATAATCAGGAAAGCGGAGGAGAAGGAGGAGAAGCGAAGGAGAGAGGCGAAAGAGAATGGGATTGTGCTTGAGACGAAAGGAAGAGGAGGAGGAATTAGCGGGGGAAGGGAAAGAAGGAAGGAGAGGAGTGGGACAGGAGGGACTTTTGATTCTGGTCCTGGGGTTGGAAGGATGAGGGGTGCGACGTTGAGTTTAAGTGAAAGGGATGTGGTGGGAATTGAGGGGAGTAAAAGGGGTGGAGGTAGGATGGGTAGGAATGGGAAGAGGGGGGGGAGGGGGAGAGGAAGGGGGAATAGGAGTTAGTGGATTGGTTGTTTGAAACCAATAGGTTTCTATGCAAGAAGTAAAGGGGTGCTGCATGAATACATATTCTACAAAGCAAATAAAGAATTGATACCCAACCCAAGCAAACTACATCAAATGTCACATCCGAGATCACAAACAGACATCACGAGCACTTCGGATTGCATCCATCCACATACAAACGCAAACGAGGTATGAGTCAATTTCATAATGTACAAATTTCCATTCTCACCAAACCCGACGCTCCAGAATTCACCAATATTGATTCACAAAGGTAAAAGTAAGTGCCATACAACCCATCCTTTCAGGTGATTTGCAGTTGCGTTCATTTAAACAAACAGTTCAGTTCAGCCAAATAACGCGCCCAAGCCCTACCCCTCATGAACTCCGTCCTTCAGTCCCTTCAAATACCAAGGAAGCCTAGGAAATGTATGTTTTTATAATTTCTCCTGCCAATAGCTAGAAAATGCTGGGTTTTGCTAAACTCTTCTTTACTGCTTATTTGCATATTGAAAATGTCCGAACGCACCTCCACCATTACTTGGTGTTAGCGGGCCTAAACCATTTCCTCCATTATTATTATGCGCAGGTGTAGTTGCTAAATTGGCATTTCCATTATTCGGAGTACTGGGTGCGCCATTTGCAAACGACGATCCTGAACCATTTTGGTTCGGAGTAGTATTTTCTTGGTATTGATTGTAATGTTGTGGGGTGGTTTGCTGGGTAGCAGCTGTATTGGCTTCTTGGAGATTGATACCGAAGACACGACCTAAATGCTCATCTCCAATCTCGCCGTCAAAAAGACGTTCGCGGAGTTTGAAAAAGACTCGACCGTTGACGAGGGAATCGGAACCAGCTTGGTGGACAGCACCTACACGTTTAACTTTGAGGACGTCGATCATGGTTTCAATGTTGGGATGTCGCTCGGTGCGTTGAAGGAGTTCTGCGGTGACGGCGTCGACATGAGAAAGCTGGCCTAACTTGTTCATAATTGTTCCTTGTTGCATGAGATATTTGATATCATATACACTTGGAAAGAACTTTTTCATGAGCATATCGAATTCTCTTTCGTCATCCGGTAAGGGTCTCTGAAGCAGAATCTTTGTAAGATATCCAAAATCGTAGCCGGCGTGCCCTGAGATCCAACGTTTCTCCTCATCACATACAAGTCCGGAACTAATCAATACCGCACCAAACTCGAATGGATCGATGCCTTCTTCCTTTAATCTGTTGAAATCCGTACCGGCAATCTTCCTTTCGTCAATGCCCTTTTCTGCATACATATCATCCGATAGCGAGAATTTAAAGTTGAACTGCCATGTACAAGGTATCTGTCCCATGCCGTTGCCAATTCTTCGTCCTGTTGAGTTCCGATCTAGTCCCGAGTCCGAGGGAGGAGTCGCAGGTAATGATTCTCCATCCTCCGAATATAATGTTATGCCCAGTTGTATAAGTTTCAGTAAGTCTACGTTGCATCGTAAGCATTGATAGTGATAATCTCCTTTGCCATTAAATGATCCCATAGGCCGAGCAACGATTCCAGGAAATTTCGCGTCCTAGCAATGTTAACTCTGGCGTCAACAATCACTATTGGAGTATCTTACCATAGAAATGTAAGGGTATTTGTCCACTAGTTGCCGCAGAATCGCCATCTCCTCGTGTAAATTCCCCTTCCAAACATCTCGTATTCTACCCTTATCACGTATACCCCGCGTCCCTGAATCTGCCATTCCGTTGTGCCCTTGTTGTTGCAACGGTGCTGCAGCGAAGCTCATTTGTGCAGCTTGACTTGCTAATCCACCGCCTTGCAGCGGAATACCAGGTGCAGAAAATCCTCCTGGTATACCCATACTAGCTCCATTTGCGAATGCATTGCTCATGGAGTTCGCACTCATAAATTGATTTCCGATCGAGCCAGGCGGAGGAAGTCCTGCAGTATGTGGTTGTGTATGAGGTGGATATTGTTGATAATGAGATGCCATACTATTTGGGGCAGCCCCATAGGCTTGCATTCGTGGAGGCATTTTGTTTTCGTCGAGTATGTATGTTGGGTATAGAAGGTGGGTTGATGGCTTTCATGGACGCAAATTGCGCAAGGAGGGGAAGGGTTTCTTTTTCGCAGTCGAAAGCAACAACAATTCTGGACAAGAAAATAAGATGATTATCACTTTGTAAATTTTTATTTGCTTTAAAATTCAAAAACTCTCAACACCAAGTCTTGTGTTTCTTAAAGTTCAAGCTGGCTGCTTTGATCAAGCATGAACAATTACTGTAGCTAAGGATGGCGCTTAATATTAGACGCCCTAATCGTACCCGAACTATACCCGAGCTCGACCTCCATGTTCAATACATTGTTTACCACTTGCCAATAAATCATTAGGTGAAAGTTGTAATTCTCACAATGCAGTGCACAAGGTATGTGTTTCACTGAAGATAGATAATGGTAATTTCTATGTCTCAATCGCTGACTTTTTTGAATAGAATTCTTAGAGCTGCACAACGTGCAAATCTTACTGGTTTCGACCCAAAAGCATTAGCTGCCGCTTCTGGTAAAAATGCAGGCGACCCATGGGCACGACGGTGAGCTCGGAAGCGCATATCCCCAAATTTCGGACTCACCATACTGATAACTTTTATTAGTGAAGCTTGGAGATATCAAGGACAATACTCAAGGCGGAATCGATTTTCAAACACCTTCCCTGGATTAGGCATTGCGACGGTAGCTTTTGCAGCATATTGCGGATACGAATACTTGTTTTTGGCGGACGAACATCACGGACATGCAGAGGGCCATGGCGATGGACATCACTAAAGAACGAATTGATGGAAAGTTGTTGTACATATGGGTTAAATTTTATCCTTGAGACTGATCCCCTCATTCTCAACAAGCACTGCGCACGCTCCATGTATATGGATATGATTTGAATTCTCTATTTCTCTGTGAGGAGGCAAAACATTGACGACTCACTTTCCATACAAAGGGCAATATATTGGTAAGCAGGGACGAGAACAAGCACCCTATATTTTCAAAATTCATTGTGCGAGTGTGCAATGATCAGTTTGTCAATATTATGATTCTCCATGGCTCAATCACTGCCAGAGTTCGGATTCCGTTGATTTGAATGGGAGAAATAGGGTAATTTTCCTACATTGAATAGGAAAGGATGGAAGATGTTCACGAAATGATGTTGGAGATTGCTAAACACATTTGTCGATTATATGTTAAAATAACAAGATCATGTCTACTGTGAGAAGCCGAAGTCAAAAATTTAAGGATCCGGTTCGGATGATGCAAAGATTAACCGGGGATGGCAGGAAAGTGAATCGAGCTGGATCGAAAGTGTTGATTGAATAACGAAGGGTTCTCTGTTCCCGGAATGAATCTGCTATTTATTACCCAGAAAGTTCAAGAAAAGAACATACAAAGTGAACCAACTCGATCTCTTCGGCTTGGAACAATCTCCCAACTTTGGTCGATCGTCTTCATGATCACCTCTCTCAATACACCATATAGGGCCACAAAAAGATGCCAGAAATCATCACACGATATACGAAATGACTTGCATACTAAAGATGCCGTCTCTTTGGAACTTGGAAAACCAATTGAATGTATGTTTTGAGTTTTGTGTGTGATTCTTTCCATACATAACATCACCATCTCCCAGGCCAAGAGATCCTTTGTAAACAGAATTCCGCCAAATCTACTTGGAGTGTTCTCATCGGTGCGCTGTCAGTGATATATTGAAAGTAGATTCTGAGACTTCCTCCTCAGCACGCTCTGCCGTGTTTTTGACTATGAGGATCAGAAGGTTAAAATTAACTATTAGTACCTACCTAGTACATCCTTATATCCAATTTGCCGGCCCCAACTACCCCGTGCCTTCCTCGGGGATATGTGATCCAGCCTTATCCATCCGAGGTCTACCCATTTTCACAGGCCGGCGCCGCGCCTAGTACTAATTAATCCGCCGCCGAAAGCCAAAGCATTTCGATATGTCAGCCCGAGCATGACTCGAGGTTAGAATACCCGACATGCATATGGAATAGCCTCGTCAAAATCTGTCCAAATTTGAATGTTTCAATGTGATGCACAAAGTTTATTTAGGGAGACGAGATGAATCTGCGTGATTAAAGGTTAGGTACGTCTACTATATTTACCAAGTAGATACTAATAATAAGATTACTTGCCTCGTATCTAAGGTTACTCGATGCTTTTTTGTATGAAATAAAGAACTCTTGGCTCGTTATGTGCCCTCGTATTCTCGTACCTACATTCCATATACCATTCGTACGGTAGATGATTAGTAACCTTACCGATCAAGTATCAATTATCAACCTTTCATCCATGCAATAAATGACGTCGACCCAGTCAGCCACATTAATCAAAATCTCAGCCTCGTCCAAGGGTAAAAGCAAGCCACAAAAGACTGGACTATTCTACGAAGTAATGCCATAGGTAAAACCCAATTTCTAAGGTTTAAGCTTGTTTGATCAAACCCTGAATCTTTTTTTCTTCATTTGATTCTCTCAATTGATGTTAATTCGTTTTTGCCTCAGCAAGATATTATTTTTCCCCTATCTTGTTGGTAATACTAATATTGAAGTAACATTTGTTTGTTTCCTCGGAATCCTCAGGAATGAGAACGTCTTTTGGTATTCTTCTTCACACTAATACCTATCCGTCACCACATGGAATCCATGAATGTTTGTTCCAATGGCGATTTCCTCGGGGCTATTGAGGAAACCTCAATATTAACACAGAAAACCAAAGACATGTATGCTTCGCAGCGTGCACTCGAACTGAGAAAGTAAGTCTGATCCTTTTTAATTGGCTTAAAGGTGTGACCCTTTCATGGGTGTCTATTGGCCGTGTCTCACGTGCATCATGAAAGCGAATACTCGTGATTTCTTGACTAACTGCTTCATTCCTGTCTTTTAGATTTTATGATCCTTATCAAGCGGATATTAATCCTCATTCTTCTGAGGATACTCTAAATGGTCGACTCAATTCTGATGGAGCCCTCGACAATTATGCCGAGGTTGCCATATGGCGTTTCGGGGGCGTTCATTCTATGATCAGGTATGAGAAATGCCAACTCATTGACAAACCGATAAAGCTAATACACACTAGTATTATTGATGGCTCTACTCAATACTTCATTGCAGGAGCACGGCGCGATAAATCTCTACCCGAGGAAGATATCGTCAATGATTCATGGTTTGGTTGTTTTCAAGTGCCAACACCAGGTGGACTTTGTGAAGTCAGGACAAACCAACCACAATCCTAAATATATACTAACCGAGAATTTCAGAATACCTTGGCCATCAATGATGACGAAGATGATCCTTACCCTTGTTTTATTATCGATGACTTAAAGAAAGACCCACGATTTGCCAGTTTATCCATAGTTGATGGTACTTTAGCTTCATACGTTTGGTATGCTGGGGCTCCAATTACTACCAAAAATGGTATCAACATTGGTGTTTTGTGTGTCTTCGGTGATCGCCCTAACACTGGGTTTAATTTAGAAAGAAGAAGATGTAGGTTTGGGCCGCAGCTTACCTCACTAAGATCTGTGTTGATACTAACCCAACATCCAGTTTTATATCATCAAGCGAACAATATCATGAAGTACATGGAAACGCAACGAGAGGCTATCGAAAGACATCGAGTTGCGCTCATGTCGAAAGGAATTGCTACCTTCATAGAAAGAACTTCTCGTTACACTAACATTGTCTCTGACAGCCCATACTCCTCAACCATGTCTGTATCAAATACGACCAATGGGTCCGGTACTCAATCCGATAATGATACCAGAATAGACCTTTCTCAGGATGGACATTCTGACACATCAAATCAACCACACCAGTCTTCCGAATCTGTACTTGATCAGATACGAATCACTTTGGATCATGCGGCCGAAATCCTTCGGGAATCGCTTGAACTCAACGTTGGAGGTGTTGTCTTCTTAGACACAACTAATGGTCATACTGAAGTGGGGAATATGGATGCTTACATGGATACAAGCACTGATATAGGTACAGAGGTGAAGGAGGCTGAATTGAGGAGATCGCTCGTACAAAATGAAGAAAGACCAAAGTATGAAGAGTACCGAAGGAAACTATCTCAAGGCACCATACGAACTTCCACGGATAGACATAAAGTGGCAAAGGTCCTTTCTATGTCAGCGGCAAAAGTTGCAACCTGGGACTCAGAAGCTCATGTCCTGGATGGCAAAACCCTTCGGTCGCTAATGAATTCTTACCCCAAGGGAAATGTCTGGTATGGTTTGGACTACGTTCGATCTCTATAGGACCATTTAACTGACCCTAATAAAGGTATATTGACGACAATGGCTATTTCTCAAGCCTGGAACAAGTTAACGATCGGAAACGCGCGCCCTCGACCGATACTAGTCCTACTGAAAGGCCTAAAACATCTGGCTCTTTCGATGCTATGAAGCAAGAAGCGGAAGCAACTATGCTTGGCAAAGTATTCCATAAAGCAAGACAAATCATATTCCTTCCTCTTTGGGATTCTGCTGGCGGTATGTCATGCTTCTATCACGTCGCAATAGCCCCCTTCTATTCTCGGCTAATCAATTCACTACAGAGAGATGGTACTCAGGCCTATTTGTATGGAGTCAATCAGCAGTTCCTGTTTTTACCGTAAATAATGAGATATCTTACCTGTCTGCATTTACAAACTCGGTCATGATGGAGATTAGTCGATTAGATGCTCTGATTTCTAACAAGATGAAATCTGATTTTATTAGTAGCATTTCTCGTAAGTATTGGCCATTGCAAGTATTCACTTGAAAGCGCTAATGATGAGCAAAGATGAATTTAGAAGTCCGTTACATGGCATTTTGGCTTCAGCAGACTTCTTACGGGAATCGAACCTTGATATTTCACAAACAGAGTTTGTCTCAACAATCCAGAATTGCAGTGGTACTCTCCTGGTACGTGCAACAAATATTATAACATTTTATCAAGGTTTCCAATAGTTCGGACTACAGTCCGACGATCAGAAGCTGTCAGTTTCTGAAACTAGTTAGACGATCCAAAAGGTCTGAAATACTGAATTCACTTCAGATATTTTACCCTTTCTTAGCATTGAGATATGAAATCCCATCTGCGAGTCCGGGCTATTGGATTACCTTTTGCATTTGATCCCACTTGCCTCTTGAATTGTTGCCCCTAGAAACTTAAACTGACACCACATCATAGGATACAATCAATCACGTTCTTGACTACAGCAAAATCAACTCTTTCGAGAAAAGAGAAGGTTCTCTACAAGGTAGGTTTTTTGTTGTATGCTAGGCTAGATCATTCTTGAATTAACAATGTATCAGGGTCTTTCTCGAGCGAGCTTCATCAAGTAACCAACGTAGCTTTGCTATGCGAGGATACCATCAATGGTATGATTGCTGCTAACCACTTTAGAAGTGTTGCTCCCATGTATAATTTAGCACTTTCAAATGGTTCACCAAAAAAGAAAACTGGTCTCTCGCCAGACGTAACGGCACAACCATTGCAAATCATTCTAGATTTCGAAATGCGGGATTGGTCTTATAAGGTTCACGCTGGTATGTATTGGAAATCTGGCAGGAGTGGCACACTGCTAATATCCTTGATAGGTGCAATTCAACGTATTCTGATGAACATATTTGGCAATTCGCAAAAATATACAGATCATGGCTATATTCAAGTACAGTTGCAACTGCGACAACAAAAAACAGCCATCGACGTGCCACCTTCAGATTCTCATCCTACCGGGGACTTCATGTGTCTGCGTATTACAGATTCTGGCAAAGGAATGTCAACTGAATACATGGATCGCAAACTTTACCACCCATTTGCCCAAGAAAATAGCTTTACACCTGGTGTTGGCTTGGGTCTTTCTATTGTGTGAGTTCTTCCATCTATTTCACATGAATGAGCTAATGAGGAATCTAGCTGGAGCATTGTGAAACAATTAGGTGGAACTATACTCATCCGCAGTGAGGTAGGGATAGGGACCGACGTCGAGGTTCTCATTCCTGTGGAAAAATCTGAACCCCCTTCACACGATGAAGTAATGAGCGGGGATACTGTCGATACAACTGATGTCAGAATTGCTGCCGAAAAAGCAATGAGATCGCTCCGTGATAGAGCAGCAGGAAGAGTAATTTCTTTTGATCGTGGCCAACTCACATCTTCACAAACTAATGCATGGGATTGTATTCAAAAATACTGCTCCGAGTGGTATGGTTTTGATGTCCGAAAGTCTGATGGAAATTCACAGAGTGAAGATCTACTTCTCATTAATGAGACATGTAAATTTCCAGAATGTTCTCCTTGTCAGAGGATATTAGTGATACATGCCGCAATGAGCTATCCAACTATCAATAGGCCAGATGATCAGCATTTTATTGCCAATATTTCTCAACCAATAGGACCCTACAGACTTGCCCGATCAATTCTTGCTCTGTTGGATCAAACTATTTGCGAATCACGCAATAAGCACGCTACCACACAGACTCCTCTTGGATCACCAGAGGAATCACACCGCACTGAAACAAAGGAATATAGCTTTTTACCAGTGCAAGAGCCGGAGCCCAACAAAATAAATGATATAACACTTACTTTAGCAAAACAAAAAGTCCGCGAAGAATTCGCTGAATCTCTTCAAAACTTTGAACAGCTTCAACTCCAAGCACCTCTTGCTACTCCTCTGGAACCAATACCCAAACCGCAAATTCCCGAACGCAAATCATCAAAACATCCTTCGCCTCCGCCTCCGCCTCCGCCTCCTCAAGTCGCCCAAGTCGCCCCAGAAAAAACCCCCCTCCATATTCTCGCCGTCGACGACAACGCACTTAATCTCCAATTGATACATCGTTATCTTCAAAAACGCAAAATAGACACAATAGTGAGTGCGGCTGATGGTTTGGAAGCAGTAGCAGCCGTAAAGGCGTCAAAAAATGGATTTGATGTAATTTTCATGGATATTTCAATGCCAAACATGGATGGATTCGAAGCTACTCGACTTATCAGAGATTGGGAGAGCGAGTTATGTGTAGGGTTGGATGGTCTAATCGCTTGGGGGCATGGCAGAGAGAAAGAGAAGGAAATGGAGATTGAAGGAAAGACGTATGATGAACTACCAAGGGGCAAGGCTTATGTAGTTGCTATGACTGGTTTGGGAAGTCAAAAAGCAAGAGACGAGGCGGATAGAAGTGGATTTGATGATTTTATGACTAAACCGGTTAAATTACCGAAAGTTGGAGAGTTGTTGAAGAGATTGAGTTGTGAGAAGGCTGCTAGGTTGGAAGCTAGTAAGCGTAATACAGATTGGAATTAAATGGAAATGGATGGGCGATTGGACAGGCTCGGCCGGCTGGATGAGAGGGAGAGAGATACGGTACGGAGTTGATATGAAATATATGAAATGCAATATACGGATAATTGGGTCAACATGGGAAGGGAAATGGAATGAATTGTATAATAATCGATGATACCTAATAGCGAAAAGAGACGAGAATACTAATAGCTTTTTTACGGTTTGGGCATTAATTTCATAGCATATTCATATGTTTAGCGATTTCGCTAAATGGTTAGGGGAGCACATATAATAAAGACATCCTCGTGGTATGTACTTGATGGGATGGCGTAATGTCTCCAGATCAATGGTATAGATAATCTCAAATCGCTCGCTTTTCTCACATATACGTACATGCGTCCAAACATCGCAGAGTTTCCATAACGGGGTGCACAAACACTTCCAATTGTCGTCCCTTCAATTACAATTTCTCAATCGCGATTGCCTCACACATAAATCTAGGGATTCCATGTCGATATAGTAGATTCTTTGGTCAAAAATAAGTTGTGAAACCGTCTGAAATGCCAAATTAACATTTTGCAATTTACCATGCTACATGGTGCTTTTTCACCCCTAGATGATGAAGAAATCAAAGGGGGCCAATTTTTGACGCCATCATTTCGTCACTTGTTCCTGCCTAACTGTCTCATCTCAACAAACCTCAAACACCATCCAATAAACCCATCACGTGTATGCCAAGCTTCTGCCCCACCACTATCAAACCCCGCCATGCCTCAAGCTCTGGTGCTCTCCTGCTGTTTACACAGTCAATTCTGTATATAAAACTCGGGTCTTATATCTTTCTTGTTTTTCTGATCGCAGAATAATATTACTTGAAAATGGAATTTGATACCAAGACTCGTAAGTTCATTTTCTATCATGTGTGATTGAGGGGAGAGGGGAGAGGAGGGGAGGGAAAGATCTTATGAAAGAGGGAGGAGGAAAGACTAACGGTTAGTGAGCAATTAGCTCTCTATTCTACTCAGGATAAAACATCTTTCGCGTATATTTCTGCGAGAGATCGTTGGCCTGTTATTCTTGTAAGTGGCACTGTTTTTTCCTTGGAGATCGTCTATTTCATGGATGATGTTGGGAATCGATATGGAAAACCCCCAACCCCTTTGCTCGCTGCGCTTGAGGCTTTTCTACTCGCCTAGTCTGCCTCCACGGCAGTGGCCCCCGGAGGGCTAGCGGAGCGTCATTCACCTGTACCAAGATCTTTGCTAATACTGACTCTGATAGACTGGAGCTATTGATGATGTTCACAGAGCAGTATCCGAATCGACGGGTAGCAAACATGAGGAAGGAAAACGCATAGTCGAGACTCTCGCAAAGCTAAAATATGAGCTTCAACACGACAGGAAATTAACGTATGGAATTTTGTCTTCGCAGGCGATGAGAAGCTAATCCGAGATGTAGCCCTCTTCTTGATGATGGACAGCCGGATATTGAGGGCTATAATAAGGAATTGGAAAAATTGGGTTACCCATCATGGTTCAATATTCCATGGTTATTTGCGGAATGTTATCTCTACAGTACGAATTTGCCCTTTCGCCTCCACTCCTTTCGAATCATAACTAATAACTAGTCTGCAGACGTATAGCAACCTCTTTCTCCCTATCCAAAGAATGGAAATCCCACGATGTGTTTGCGCGCCAAAAGATGTCGACTTTCCGTTCTTCCCGTCCTGCTGTTCTCGAGCTCGCAAGTCGCTACCACGAACTCATAAACCAGATGTCAAATGACAAAACCCAAGACGAGGAGGCTGAAAAGATACTTTTCATGGAAATGTGCGAGATTTGCTTATGGGAAATGCAACGATCTTTCGCTTCTCACATCTCTCACCTACGAAGACATTCAAAAATTACAAGGATCCGAAGCACGAAAAAATTCAGAGAAGAATATCCTTATCAATGATTTGGGCAAAGCATATGATGTCCTTAAGACTGCCAAAAAGGAAGGAAGAAACCGTCAAGTCGATATTGTTCTCGATAATGCCGGATTTGAACTTTATGTCGATTTAATTCTTGCTGGATTCCTTCTCAGCGCAGGTCTTGCTACAAATATCGTTTTGCATTCTAAAGCCATCCCATGGTTCGTATCAGATGTTGTACCAAAAGATTTCTCCGATTTATTAAACGCATTGAATAATGCTCAATCTTTCTATTCCACACCTTCCGAAGACGAGCAAAGAGATGGAAAAACACCAGAACCACTTTCCAAAAAGGAAGAAGAGGAATTGGATTTCTTGTTCAGCACTTGGAGCGAATTCCATGCAGAAGGTCAATTGACTTTAAGAGCTAATAGATTCTGGACTGAAGGAGGTAGTTATTGGAGATTACCAGGCACGGCACCTCGACTATATGAAGATCTCAAGGAAAGTGATTTGGTCATTTTCAAGGGAGATTTGAATTATCGAAAGTTGACAGGGGATGCTACTTGGGATCCTACAACCCCATTTACAAAGGCCGTTGGACCATTAGGTCCAGGGTACGGTGTTAACGTACTGGCATTGCGGACTTGCAAGGCGGATGTGGTGGTTGGGTTGGAACCAGGACTGGATGAGAAGTTGAGGGCTATGGAGGGAGGGGGCGGAGATTCTGGACAGAGAAAATGGGGATGGAGTGGGAAGTGGGCGGTGGTCAGTTTTTCGGGAGGGAAATAGAGATGCTTTGTAGAAGGTGGATGATTACCAGATGGATGCATGGGAATGAGATGGATAGATTATTCGTACCTGGAGAGTAGCTATAGATAGGTAGATTAAGAGGAGTGGGGTTATGAGCTCTGGTACTAGGTAGGTAGCTACATGGTAGAGATATACCTAGATTCGATTACGAAAATATATTGTTTTTAACGTTTTATACTACGAATAGGGTATCTAATTATACATTATACATTGTGAAACGTGGAAATGATTTATTTGTTGGTTTGGAAGATATCGAGTTTCAACTCCCTAGACAAATTACTACTTCAAAGTCTGAAACTTCTTCCTTACCTACTGATTCTTATATCGTTTCGTTGAGGGGAGGGGGGAAGAAGTGTGTAAAACCATAATAGTAATAATAGTAGTATTAATAATATATAAATTAATAATAATAAATAAGTATAAAAGTATAAAAATATAAAAAGCCCCACGCCACCGCTAAATATATGTGAGTATCTACTCGTACCTACCTAGGTACCCGTGGACATAGATAAATACCCAGCCATAAACATAAACATGTAATAAAAAAAAAGAATTTTGCGTGACCGACCATCCTCAATCCATCTGATCCATTTCCATTTCCATTTCCGTTTCCGTTTCCATTTCCGTTTCCGAGAGTGTCATATCTTATATCCTGTTTCGCTGCGGTTTCATTCCTCGGTTTCGGTTCTGTTTCTTGAGTCTGGGTATAGTGTATAATGTATAATTGTGAGATGCTGTGATTCTGTAATTCCGATTGATTCCTCGTGTGGTTGCGATTTGGTGAGGTGTGCTCGTGCGGGGAGGTGGTAAGGTGGTGAGGTAGAAATTTGGTGAGGTAGGTAGGTACTCTTTGAGTTGGGAGGTGGGACGGGAAATTTGGGACTCGAGGAGATTTTTGGACCGATGGGGTCAGAAGAATGGATGGATGGAAGGTATCCTGTCCTATCCTATCCTATCCGGTGATTGTGTCTGATGTAATTAATGGGTATACGAGTTATTCCGTTGATTATTAATTTATATATGTGAAGCCTCCTCTTGACATCGAGGTTTTGGGCCGGCGTGGCCTGATTGTTGTTGTTCTTGGTTCGGGTATCCCATTCTCTTTTCTCCCCATCTTCTACTTTCGAATTCATATCCGTATCCATATTCACATCTAGTTTCGTATCCATCTTCCCTCATATTAACCATCTAAAGATCGCAATCCACAGCACCAGCAAACTACTCAAACCCATTCCTCCGCCCAACCCATCCATTCGTGATCCTGCACCGCCCGTCACCACTGCCGCAGCAGGTAAACTCGCATTCACAAATCCCGGCCCGCATTGTACATTCACCATTCCAGCGGCTTGGGCATACGTACCCGCTATCGCGCTCGTTCTGACCGCGCCCGCAGATTCAAAGATCGCCATTGTGTTTTTCAGACACTGATTGCAGGTGGGTTGGGAGCCGCCGGGGAGACTCGTGTTCAGAGGGAGATAGTATATGTAGCTATCTGTTGGAGAGGAAGAATTTGTGACGGCTTGCGCGTAGCAGTATGCGCCATTGGAGGGATCTTTGAGACAGGATGCGGTGAAGAGGGTGGAATAGGCGAGGAGACCCAGACGAGCTTGTGTGACGAGTGGATTGGCGGCGAGGAGATCGACGGAGCAGGCGGTGGTGGAGGTGATGTTGGAGGCGATGGAGGACATCAGGGTTGAGCATGATTGCGCGTTGGCGGAGCAGGAGGCATCGAGGGTTTGGGTGATGCGAACGAGGGATTTGGAGGCTTGAAAGAAAGAGTTGGAGTTCTGTGGGAAAGGGAGTTAGTTTTGGATTGGGTCTTGGTTGATTGTATGCATCAATTGGGTTTATTGAGCTCTGAGAATTAATTTGAGGGGGAATGAGATTCGAGGAACAAATAATGCCATTGTTTGAGCTTGCATACAATGACCAATCTTCAATTCCCCAATCCCTCCCCCTTTATCTCATACCCTCTTCCGAAAATGAAAATCACATACCTGCAATAACAATGAAAAAGGCAAACAAGCTTTAAAAGTCTCGTTTGCCAAAAAGTCCATCATAAAACTCGAACATGTTGAAGTAATATTACTCGTAAACCCACTATCGAACGGCGTGGGTAAATTGGTTGTTCCCGTAGCAGCGGACACCAGGCCGCTACTCGTTTGCGATTCCGCCAGTGTTGACGACGATGAGGCGGAATCGGTCGCGGTTGCTGTACTTGTACTTCTGGGAGGTGTGATTGTGGCTGTGGAAGTTATCGCCGCTACGTTTCTCTTTTTAATAAGATCGGATTCGCAGTCGGAGTCGAGATCTAGATTTGACGATTGAGGTTCAATTGGAATGTTGGTTGCTTTTTCTTGGTCTCCTTCAAGTTCTCCTTCGTCACTAGAGGTCCTCGATGTAATTTCCCAAGTCTTAAGTTCCGGAAGCGATTGCGTGGGAGCGAGGATCGGGTCGTTTGATCAACTAAAATAGTGCCAGATCTAGCTAGACGTGCGAGTGTGGATGCAAATAGTTCAGGAATCTCTTCTCGAACTTCAACCATTCGTTCTTCAATATAAAATTCGGCCGAACATGTGGTGATGAGGAAGGAGGAAAATATTGTCAATAGTATTATAAAATTAGTTGAAGAAAGAAATGTATGAAGATTACGAGTTTTGTAACTTTTGGAAGAAGAAGACGTCGATGGTAATGATGACGACGATGTGGTGAGAGAAGCTTGATTGCTTGAAACCCGTTTGGTGACGGTAGGGATGCGGATAGGGAGAGTTGGTGCCGCGACCGTTGGATAGTGCGACATGAATTGTTGCGAAGGAAAGGAAGGCGAATAAGATGGCGACTTTGATATCGACACCTCATACATCGTTTCCATATCTATATTCGTATCCATATCCATATCCATTTCCATTTCCAGATTCAGATCTAGATCTAGATCCATATCCATATCGTTCAAAGATGATAGGTAGTATATACAATGCGGTATATCTCTACAATCGTGGTTCCAGCATCACTTTTCGAAATTCAAATCGACAACCAGTATAGTCGTCGGTGGCAGAGAAGTTAACAATTATCGAACGTTCGTTCAAGAGGGTCGGTGGTATTGTATGAATTGTTATGAAACGAAAGAACAATCGATGATTCTTCTTCCTTCAATCCTTCCCGTCCCGATTGTTTCTTTTCAAGCCGGATCGATTGCGTCGAAGAATGATTGTTTGATGTAGTACCTAGGTATGATGTATTTTCGTCTGATGTCTACTCGATTGATTTCCTTGCTTGGATTTCTTTTCCTTTCTTCCGTCGTCGCTATCCAACTTATCGTACCGTGCCGTCTCGAATTTGAAGTTTATTTAGAAGTTAGACCAGAATGGAAGAAGGAATTATCGTAAAAAGGTGAAGACCTCAATATGCAATGCAGATAAAATCTGCCAACGACCCAAAAAGTAATTGATAAAAAAGAATGACTGTAGTTGGAAAGGAAATCTTCTGTTGGAAAATAAAAATCCCTTGTATGTTATCAAAATCTTGAAGTCGTTGATGATTCTTCCGCAGAAGGAGAAAAGTGGTATGCGGAGGGTGCTCTCGAATGATATTTGATCTTTCTTTCAATCCTTCACTTCCACATCCAGATCAATATCCACTTTCCAACTCTCCACTCTTGAATTTTCCCTTCAAGAGGCGTATGCCGGGCGCAGTCCAGGTAGGTAGGTAGGTAGGTAGGTACTAGGTAGTCCAAGCAGAGAGACTGATTTGATATCTTTTTAATATAGGCAAAATACCTTTTGAGTTTCCAGTCCGTAATTCAACCAGGCCAACCACAACGCAAGCAAGGTTTCTAGTTTCGTTTCGTTTGAACTTTTAGACAATGGATAGGTAATAGATGAACTTGACTAGAAGGAAGAACCATACAAGACGGCGAATATGTTATATGATCACCAAGTAAAGTAGACTCGAAGGAAAATCATTTAGATTGGAGATTGGTTCATGGAGAAAGATTTACATGGGAGTTCTGGATCCAATATCCGTTATTATGCCTCCATTCATCCAAGTACAAAGTATCACTATCACCATCGATGCAGACTCCCCTCTATCTCCTCCTCCATTGAGAGAATCATTTTGGGGGAGAATGATTAATATTCCGAAGATACTATACCCAGGTCCTGGGCAGTCACCACCTAGGACATACCCGTTCTGTATGGAAACATCCATCCCATGTGGCATCCAACCAGTCAGAATTCCATCTGGATGCGACTAGATGCTAAGATCATCCCTTTGGGAAACGCTGCAAGCCATCGTAAGCCATCATCTGCGCCATATGGGTTGGAGACTGCTTGGAGTAACCATATGGGCGAGACGAGCAAGCCTAATATTGAATTTTGAGGTGAAGCGTGGTGGGTGATACGATGTGCGTACTCCATACTACTGATGATTGGGATAACAGTTGGAATGGTCGAGCTAGTGAGATTATTGAACTTATAACATGGTTCTTTATACCTTTATGAAGTATACATATACATATAACTTTATAACTTTACATATATATATATATATAATTTTACACGTAAATTTATATCTCCATTCAACATCCAAACATTCCCCCATGCCTCCCCTCCCTCCTTCATCCTCTCGCCAACCAAAAGTAGTCCATCAGTCAGATCTCGACCACGGCCACCACCCAAACTTCACTCTCCACTAATTTGGCCCAGACCATACCCGACCAATTCTAGATCTCACTCCCGATGCCCCTCGCGATACCCCTGCATAAGTGGCATCTGAGCCCACATCCCACCCCCAACCTAGTAATATGCCCGACGCGCACGACCAATGCCCACCAGGATTTTCTCATCCTACCGAAATGAGAGTTGTGCGTTTATGGATTGGGAAGCTGGATCCATCATGGAGATGGCATGTTTGGAGTTTAGGATTCGTATCTAGGGAAATGGCCCAATGCAAGCACGTTTCTGAAGATATACCAGTTGCAAGCCACGGGTGCGGATCATGAATAGTTGGAAGGAAAAAAGTGAAGAGGGCTAAGATCTGGTGATCTCTCTCGACTGTACGATACGGAATGTGCAATCAACAATATCATGCATGGTATTATGTCATGTGGTGAACGGTTTGTCCTGAAAATAGCACTGAACGGTGCGTGAGATGCTGATGCCGATGCTGAGATGCAGATAAGATGCCATACTTCGTAGTAGGTATGTGGTAGACTTGTGGAAAGATCAACATGTCTGTCTCGGTAGTCTAGAACCTTTTCCTACCTCAGAGTAAATATCGTAAATATCGTATATACCTACATAGTAGCTTTCACAGGTACACAAATATAAAAACCAACGGTTCGGCTCCTCGCATCTATCGATCCCGAATTTCCTTACAATCAATCCATCAATGCCACGCGGGTTCGGAAGCCAATCCCGTAGATTAATATCGAAAAGACAAAAAAACAAATGATCGATCCAACAGTCAGTTATCCCATAAAACGCCCACGCCGTACGAAAGGCGTACTCCAGGCCTCCGAGGCGTTGGGGGCGTGGTGTAGCGGTAAGCAGACAAGCACAGAATGGCACTCTGTACATGAATCCTCATGTATTCCCCTTTTACTTACAGGACCAAGAAGGGTACGAGCCTAAGCATGTAAGCCTCTCTGCAGCACCACTTCGAAAGAGAGGCTTTGGGGTTATCTGCATTGCATGTGGAATAAGCAAATGAGCAAGCAGGTCTCTCGTATGTAGGTACGCGAGTGAGATCTCGATATCCAGATATACAATGAATGTCCGGCATCGATCGATGTATCTTACAATTACAATAAACAAAATCAACAAACTCTCATTTCCCCATCCAACCCTCAGCCAACACAATCAATAATACAATCCAGCCTTATCAAAAAACCAATCTCGCTATCTTGTATACTTTTTCCAGTCGATCCATTCAACCCATTCCATTTACACCGTTGAGAACACAACTAATGCAAGCGTCCGGAAAATTTCACCTACCCTTACCTTGTTTCCCTTACTTGCTTCTTCTAAGCGTTGTACGAGCCGGTGTCATAAACTATAGGGCGCCACCAATATTTTCGTGCAGCCATTGAGTCTATCTGGTCTGGACTCCTGGAACAGAAAATTGGTGGAGCAGATATATGGCAGTTTTTGCGACGAGAGAGAAGAATGAGTACAGTTGGAGGAATACCTACCTCGTAGTTAGAAGTAAAAGGTACGTGGAGATACGGGAGGATTCTTCGTACTGCGCCAGACGGCAGATTCAAATCCTCAAGGTTCACCCCATCTCCTCATCAAGAATCAACTCTTTCGTCAGTCAATCAATCAATCAATATTCGTACAACATATAGATAAGAAACTCCGATACACAATACAATAGCATCTCGATCGCGGATTTGAGATCTACCTATTCCTCAGATACAGTCGTAGTGGGCTGGTATGGTGTACACTTCTAGAAACGAAGTATTGATTCTGAAGTGAAGGCTGTACTGTAACCCTAATGAGATGTGATGTGATGTTACCTTCTTATCCGGAAATCGGGGAGAATTGATTGGGAAGATGATGGGTGTAGATGAATCAGCGAGAATGTCATGTGAATATGGGAAGAAGAAGAAAGTTTGAAATATATTGTAGATACCTCGTAGTATGTCCTCTCCATTCTCTCTCACCAAAACAGTCTTCGGGTTAGGGTTAGGAATTATCTGAGACAGGCACATAGGATTAGGGTTAGGAGACATGCAACAAAATATTATCGTTGCAGATCAATGCACGTGAGAAACAAGGGACTTGTCCAATGAGATTGTTGCACGCACAGACACGGGGTAAGAGAATCAGGTGAGTGCGAACAGAATGTGAGGGTTGAGCAAACAGTACCTAGGTATGTATAATAAATATTTGAGTACGATATGGGAGTCTATAATTATATTGCCAAATAAATAAATGGAATTCTGATGAATCGGGGTCATGATACACTGATAGTATCAAGGTAAGAACACATTAAGTATTGTCACGTTTCTCATTGAAAGCTTAAGCGATGTTGTGCCGACAGAGCTTGAGGAGGGGAGGGGTAGTATGATCTTTCCAATATCTAACACTAACATTCATCATACTCAACTTGAGCGCATCACTTCATTCGCTTGAAAATCATTCATCTTTGGAATGGCAAAGCAGAAAGGATACATGATCTCACAACGACTTATATAACTCATCCATCCATGAACACAATTTTATTCTACCTCAAAATCAAAACTGAAACAAATATTTCAAGACCACCGCCATTATCAAGCCAGTGTCCATCCTACTGGGAATCTAAGCTTTCGATTTGGAATATGATGAGAAGAAAACAGACGCCGCCAATTGAATAAGTCCGTCCGATTTAAGATATAACACCCAGCGTGACAAGGTGAAGTAGTACAAGACCTAGCATAATCTTCATCGACAGTCATTGAGCTCAAAGTCGAAGAACTGAGCACTTAGCATTATTCATTCCCTCTCTTCATGCTCCATCGATCCCTCTTTCAACTTTGGGAATTAGGAGACATATCAAACTCTAATTGACCCATGAATGCGAAGACAATTGGAAATTCATGTCAATTTCATATGGAGGCATTGCAATGCGTGGGAGAGATTTGGTGAATGGGAAATAGCACTAAAACTGGAAAGGTCATTAGCAATTCTGAGATCAACCTTGCGGGAGCAAGTTCGTGTGCGTATGACATATCAAATGGCTTCACGGAGTATTTCATCGAATTGGTCGATCTTGGTATCGTTTCTTTTCAATATTTTTAAAGAAAATTTCTAACTATTGAGGCATATAATGCTCCCTTGATACGCCAAGAGCTATCAGTAGTTTGAGCAGCTGCTGAGCGTTCTCGAAGGCGATTGATATCAGTCTAACCGGGAAGAGAAACCGCCATCTCCACAGGTATGATTGTTCTTGTGGGTAGTTGACCATGGACATCTGGCCGCGGATATCATAGGTCAAATCCCACTTCGGCTCTTTCTTCCATCAACCACAGCATTGAAAATATCACCACCAAACACAAAGACCCCATATTAACCCATTCATATATTTCCCCACACCTTACTCCTCGAAACTCTCCATCTCCGGGTCACGGGAGAAGGTCAACCACTTCCAACTATATCATCAAGGATGAAATCACTTAGTCGAGTCACCCACAAACATCAAAGGCTTGTGCATCCCGCGCCACCCTTCAATCTCATAACCTCCTCTTTTCTTTGATTCGCTCGTTCATTTCATTCCTTGCGTCATTTTTTCGCTCCATCTTTTGTTTGTTCAAATCGACGCGAGTTGTCGTGAAGAAAGGAAGGAGGAGCAGATTTGACGTTGGCTGAAGAGTCCAATAAGCATGCTTTGATCCGGATGTTGAGCCGACCATTAGCAAGGTACGGCCTTCAGACAGTCTTTGATGCTTGAGGCTGAAATATAGCGGCCAGACTGAATACTCTGCTGTGCTTCGACTAGCGCTTGAATTGATTGTAGATGGCGCATGCTTCGTTCAAGACACTCCGCTTGTTGACGCTTCTTCTATGCTCTGCCCTGCTTTGCAATGACTTCTAATGCGGCAATGGCTTCATCGAAAGCACAAGTCTGTGGCTTCCTGGTGATTCATAACAACCTAACAAATTCCATGGTCTTATGCCGGCCATGGTTCATTCAGATTTCTGGCCTATCAACTTTCATAGGTAGAATAGTGGTCTACCATGATGTCGACGGGTAAAGGTGTAGGCCGAAGTAAATTTAAGATAATAGTTTAACGACTTTCCGGTCGGCCGAGAGTAGAACACGGTGGTAAATACACGATCTTGTTCAACAATTCTAGGAGCTAGAAATGCGGAACAGTCTGTGCCAACTCTAAGAGAAAAAAAAGTTTGGATCCTTTTCAATTTGAGCATCGTTCACTTTCAAGAAAGTTTGTCGGCAATGGTGCTGTGGAATCGCGCATTGACAGTGTGTTATTGGGTGAAGAAAGAGTGCTTATGACTTGTGCTTGTTAAAAGGCTCCGCAATGGAGTTCCAAAGAGGGCAAGCAAGTGGTTGATAGCAAGCAAGCACCGTTTTGGCAGGAGAATCTAGAGCTCAGACCACTGTACCAGCGCCGAAAGACCATGGGAACACCAAGGTCAAAATGCCACACGAACAAGTTGCTCGGGATGAGAAATGAAGTTTTGCTGGCCGAGAAAGCACATGACTTCCCATTAACCGTCTAGAAGAACAAAGTCCGATTAGAGTTTCAAGTGCCAGGACATGCGATTGTGTTGAAAGATATATTGGTCCCAGAGAGAGAACGAGTCGACATCCTATTTGAGATTTAGAAAAACACTATCACAGGTCGGTTATGGTAATGCTCAGAGAAAACTAGCACGTACCTGAATGATTGTAATATTAAAATAGTGGAATGAACGACCTTAGTCAACAATCACGACATTGAGAGGGGTGGGAGCACGCCGAAGCGGCTAGAGGAAAGAATAGTTTATTTTGATATGAGACTAATAATACAACTTGAGTAACACAGCAATCTCCGGCCTATACCTATATCATCAGAGCGGTACCAATATTGTTTAATCTTTCCATCAGACAATCCTGAGCCGAAGCAAAGATCATGAAAACCTCTGCTTGCCTGCCCTTCAATTGCAGTCTCGCCTCAATCAGTATTTGAGACGGTTAGCTTCTTGTCCCCGTCTTCTTTGGAGGGAAATCTGATGTTGGATGAAAGAAGGGCCCCCAGGAAGATCCTCTTTTTCTTCTTAACAGCCTATCACCCTGAAATCGGTTTTGCCTAGAGCTAGGACTTAACGAACAAATGGTATAGCTCCCAGTCTATCTCGTATTCGATGCGCTCTTTACGTCCCTTGAAGATCCGTGGGCAAGTTTTGTCTCCCTACAACTCCCAATGTATGCCAGAGCTCAAGATCAAGTAAAGATCGACACCTGCCATTACAAGTTATATTACTCGAAGGAACCGAATTTGATGCCGCTTTGGCGGAAGATGAGGAGACCTCAATGAACTCTGCAGCAGTCTTGACAGTTGGTACCAGTAATTAAAACTCCTTCCAGTCCAGTTTTCGCCGCTTCGATGAGTAAGGGATGTTCCTGTAGGTGACAGCGCAGAGTAGGATCCGTCTGGGAGGCTGTTCGAGAGTGTGGAAGTGGGTGCATCACCTGACCCAGCGAGCTTGGGTGTATGAAGAGTTGGTTCCGAATGGTATACGTAGACCGCAGCTTAGATCAACGAAAAGGGACCGGTGACTGAATTTGCACGCATGGTATGCCGCGATAACTTTGTTGGTACGTGTTGAAGTACCACTGGCATCCGAGACAGGCGAGAAGCACATCATCGCTGGTAGTCGGAGCCGAAAGGCCGATTGTTGTTATTTTGACTTGGAATGATCAGCAATCAGCTGAACCACTGAAGAATCTTCATGTTGGCAATTTGATGACTCTTGAAGAACGAATTGCTCACATCTCTTGGGGAGACCTGTTTACCACAACGCGGATGCTGTTAGACGGGGTTGAAGTATACTACCCAACAACTTATGGGAGTGCTAGGAAAGTTGGGTGCATAGTTGCTGTAGCCTTGATGGTGAATATCCCACGATTTTTCTGTTGTCTGAAGTCCTGGTTTTGCGGGTTGAGGGACTTCCAGATGAACTTTTAAACGCCGAAAAACTGTCTTTGGCTTAGATCCAGCTTCCAAAAACCTACGGAGTTGGAAATCACAGGTCTTGGAGGCATTGACAGTAAATTCCATCAAGACCTGAACACTGCTTGCATCCACAAGAGATCCGGGTCTTGACTCCAATGGTGACTTGAGCACAGGAGTGAAAGTACTACTAAGAGATTGAGCAAAAGCATGGAAGCTCCAGAGTTCCAGATGGCGAATGCTCGCGCTTCAAAATCGTCAGCAAGATTCATCATTACTGATGTAAAATTCAGTTCTGGATGGTGGAAGGACTTACAATATCTTCAGACACCAGTTTCTCTAACCCATATTCACCATACGTTTGGTAAATTTTATCACCATCACCATCGAAAAGGCACGCCCGGAGGCGGCTACAGGAAATAATATGAATTTTTTCTCTATTGTACATGGCTGCGTTCTCCATAGAGTTTTTGCTCATATCCACAGTTCTCCAACTCGATCAGCCACACGTCGCTCTCCTTCAACCGGTAGCAGTCATCTCCCACATCCTCTCAGATACACATTGGCGAATGAAGCAACGCAATCGAAGTGTTCGGCGTGTTGAAGCTAAATTCAAGCCACGAAGGCAACAGTAATCTGTTGATATCATGATATTATTAAAGGTTCAAGAAAGTAAGGGGGCGGTTCGAAGGAATGTGACGCAATTGGCTCGTTCAGAAAACTAAGAAATTGGATATCTACTAACCTTATTGACTGAATGGACCGACTCTTCTGATTTCATCGAGCAGCTGGGGCATGGTTTGAATGAATCGCCATGAGGTATTCTTTCTCTGCTCGGTCTAAGCTGGACGAACAAGAACTGATCATTGAAAGGCGATAGGCTGGGGACTCGAGGCCAATGTAGGAGCTGTTTTAGTGGGCGAACAAGAATCTAGAGGGATCATCAACTTGCGGCAGCATTAGTAAATGTTTTGTGGTCAGAAAGTGTTGAAGGTCCGAAGCCTACTAAGACTGCGGCACAAATGCAATTTTACATTTGAGGGAAGACTCCATGAGCTCTTCAACACAGACTCACTTTTATTCGATCGCCGAGCTGCTACGTGTGATTTCGGCAGCGGTCAAAAAGCTATACTAATGGCCTGTGCATCGGCCAACGGAATCCCACCAGCCATAAAATGACCATTATGGTCATCTCAGAGCGTGGGGGTCCCATCAAGGCATGCTTGTCTAGTATAAGCAACTATACTGCGAGACTGCGAATGGCTCATTAAATCAGTTATCATTTATCTGATAGTGCCTTGTCACATGGGTGACTATCAATCCAGGCATATTTGGTGGCTAGAGTGGCCGTTAGCATACAAATAAATAAGGAGCTTGAGCGACTTACTTTCTTAAAGTAGTAAAACATCCATCGGTATTCAAACATGGACATGTCACTATCCTCGAGTTGCACGCCGAAGCGGGCTGCGGGTAACTTTGTGGATTATTATCTATCTAATGGGTACTCTAACATGTACCAGTGTGTAAAGATAAAACGGTCTTTGGTAAGCCTGTTCAAAGCTGACTTTGGTGGCAGGAATTGGCATCCAGTGGGCTAGAACAACCTATCCACCTCAGAAGAAGTGAGCGACATGCTTCCCTGACTTGCTCAAGAGCTTCTATCCTCTCCCCCGTCTTGATAGCACATCCATCGTATCATACCCAAAGATTGTACTGGCCCGCTCTTGATGCCGGACAACTTCTGCCCAGACTTTATCGTTTTCAATCTCTTTTTGATTGAGAGCATCAGTAATGATCAAGAAGCCCCTTCTCTTCGAAGAAGAGATGTTGCTCGCGAGTGACCGCGTGGATCATCTGCTACTTTCAACAATGGTAGTTAGCAAGTGACAGCAAAAATGGCACGCAAACTGTATTATCTCTTGCTCATTCACTCTCTCCTCAGTTTCAATTGCTTACTTTTGTTCGGCCATTCGCTTTGGGCTTCGCGAATGCTTACGCCCAGTTTTCTTTCGAGGTTGGCACACTTCAGCACAAATTGGCCGAAGCCTGGCTCTTGTAATTGACGCGTCCAAGTCTCTAGAAAGAGCCATCAGTGAATGTTGAGTCAAGAAAGATCATAGTTAGCTGACCTTGGTTTGATGAATTCTAGTTGGCTCTGTGTCTGATTTTGTGCGAAAGATCTACCGAGATTGATTTCTTTGTTGGCCAGACACAGAGCCCGTAAATTGAGAATCGTCTTGAGACTGTGAGGTTGCAAGAATGAAGCGGCGAGGGAATGGCAACCGCATCATCTCTGACGAAAGGTATTTGCTCTTTCGAGTTTTTCGTTTGTGTTTGGCTGGTTTTTGTCGTTTGTTATTGATGTTGATGGGTTTGTGGGAATAATTGAGTATACCTTCTGGAAAAAGATCGGAAGTGTCAGCTAACGCTCGCAAGAAAAGAGAATTGGATGAATTAGAAAGTTCAAATTGCAAGACGAAGAATTGAAAGATAGTTTTTCTCGATCCTCTTGATGAAATGAGATGGTAGAAGACTTACTTTGATAGTTTGGTTCTGTGAAGAAGAGTGAAGTCATCAGCTCAAGCTCCAAAACGGAGATATTTTGATGGATTGAAGACTGCAGAATAGAGAAATGGGTCGGGAAGGAGGGTGATCTATCTCTTCTCAGAGAAAGCATGGCGGAATGCTTACTTGAATTGAATTATTTCTATTTGAGAAGATCGAAGGTGTCAGCTCAAGCTTGACGGTTTGGATTTTGATCAAACTGAGAAAGCGGAAAGGATTTGAAGGTACGAAAAGCCTTTCGATAAATCATGAAGAAAGAATCGATAGATTACTCACTTTGAACGGATATATTTCTTTTTGTTTATCTTTGCTTCTGTGTTGAAGAAAGAAGGATTATTGATTCATGTAATGGTTTGTGGGAAAGAAAATTCACAAGAAGGTAGACTTTCCAATGACTAGAATGGGATTAGTGCCTAAGCCTTGCCGACTAAGCAATTTAACTTATTATTACTGGACAAGTTGGAATATCTAGAAGGTAGGTATCCAGAGCAATCAAATAATTATTGAGATCTTGATATGCACTGTTCGAGTTGAGTTGTTACTTCAAAAGGAAAGAGGTTTGTTCTCCTTATAGCCGATCATGTGACTGTGTGTTGACAACTTTTGGGGGAAGTTGGGAGAGGATTGGGGATGGGATAGGTTTTTTTAGATTTGATTTCAACTTTTTGATGGATGTTTTGATTTTTTGGAGGTGGAGTGGGTGGTGATGTTTAGATTGTGTCAATGATGTATCTTTAGGAAGTACTGTATATATATTGGGTTTCTTGATGTGATGAGATTGTTTTCATGATTTATTTTGTGTTTTGATGTCAAAGTAATCTCCTACATATGTCTGAAAGGCTATGTTAGTACAAAGTACAAAGTATATTAAGTACTAGTAAAAGGGTTTCAACATACAGTTCTCAACTATTCAACAACTTGATTGAGTCTCAAAATAGCATGAAATGATTTAAACCCAAGCAAATCAATCATGTATTATAGCAATTTTGAATAACTAAAGTTTCGATTACATAATTCAAGGTTATATGATCAAAAACTAATAACGAAAAAGATATTAAGTAAAAGGAAAAACGAGAGAGAGTATGTCAAGTATATCCTCTTATCTTCAAGGGACTCCTCTACTTCCGACTCTAGATATATTATATATCTCAAAATTGAGAATAACAAGAAGAATTTCCTATATCCATATACTACGAAGATATGTTATTTCAAGTAAAAGAATTCTATTTTGAGGGATTAATCTAGAAGTAATTTTTTTATATTGAAATATCATATTGATTTTTACATCTAGAATCAAATATCATATTAATATTTTATAATATATTTCACATCATCAGGGAAACGAATTATACAACCCGAGGGAAACCATTCAGTATCAAGAGACATTACTTGCTCCATCTGGGACCTATAGGAAGGAATGTATTTATACACATGCCGTATCATTCTCCATATAGTGTACCTTTAGTGTAGGTAAGGCTTAGACTCGATCCACAGATCATAAACTTTACATTCGAGCTATTCACTAGTCCCTAGCAGATTCCACAATCAAAATGCTTAATACTCCCCTCTATTTTCAATTTCTTTCCATGTAGTAGTATCATAAGAAGGAAAATTCCTTCAACATGGTCTGCGTAGATACTGCCATCCTTTTAATTTCTCTCAAGGGAATAACTTTCGCTATTTAACAACCTTTCGTCACTTTATTGCTGACGTTTCAACTAAGAGTTCGGTGAGCAATGTATTTGTAGGGACTATTTCTCCTCTGATTTACGCAACATCGTCCTTTACAAATCCAGTCGTCCCAACTTCTAACACTTGTCGATAAGACATGTGGTACTCAGATGATAAACTGTACATGTGCCACGGGTCGAACGTACTTGGTATCAGACTAGTGCCTCTAGATGTGAGTGGCGAGCGCACTTTTACTACTATCTACTGATCCGGAATCATCGTCGTATTTTGATATCCTATAATCCATTCACTTCTCTTCTTTACTTTTCATCAACTAGTAACAACAATCGTTCAACGAAAGGTGACAGCAAACTATGTCAACCAAGTACAAAGCTAAGATGAGATTTTCCAGGTAAATATGTAATTCATCCCTCTATACATGCTACGTATAACACCGGCGAGGAATCAGCATGCTTAGGACTGAATCTGTTTTAGCGTCAGAGATAATTTGAATTCGTAGCTCTCTTGTATATCCATTGGAGTGGCATGGGTATATTAAGTAGGACTCTATGTGTGCGCTATTCACTCATTTTCATCTTTTTATTGTTTGACTACCTAGGTATGGGGAATGATGTGTTTACCCCTGTTTACACGAAGTGTTATTGGTACCTATTCTTGGAACAAGATCGAGGTGCGGGGAAGGGCCAACAGTCCATGAGACAGAAGTGAAACTTGACACATTTCCACCAGGTAGTTACTTATACCTCGATGTTGACCTCGTAAGTGCAATTGCAGTGCTACCGCGTAGGCAGAGCCCATACTTTCATGTAGGATAATCCTTCTCCTAATGCCAATTTGGTGCTAAATCTATTTACTTTGCCGCATAATCGTCTATTAGAAGCCGTGTTTCATCTCATACCACTTGGTATCACCGTCGCTTGACTTCTCGCTGTCGTTAAATTTGCTTCTTCATCAGATGAATACTCTATCGTCAATACAAGTTGTACTCGCAGCGCCTCTTTACTTCTCAATTATCACCTTACTTACCCAAGATTATCAGAATGAATTCGCTCTACATTTAAACACATGGTGCTCTTCAGGTACTTACCTGAGCTATGGCCTTTGTTGTTAAATTCACAAACCATCTACCTAAGTACAGTATATAGAAGTCATTTATAAGGACCACCAGGACTTGATTGTGGATCTAAGAAGAAATCTGCTCAGCCTTCGCACTTCTCGCCCCACCTAAATTGTTTCTGTCGGTGTTACCTCATGCTAATTCACTCGCTAAGTCTACCAATTGAGCCGATTAGTTGTACTTACCCCCCTCATAGAGTGCATAGGATAGAATAGTAAGTTCACCTGCTTAATATTCACCTACCACTAGCGCTCTCTATTC